GTGATTTCTCTCTGTCAAATAAATAAATAAAATCTTTAAAAAAAAAAAAACAACGTTAAAAAAAAAAGGGTAAAAGTTAAAAAAATTTAGCAGAAGAAGAGAAAAAAAATTGAAAAAGAAAAAATTAAATTAACTGCAAGGCTAAAGAATCATGGGGAGAAAGCCATGTGTTGGGTGCTTTGCTTTCTCCTCCTCTGGAATTCTGCAGCTCTCCTTGGTATTGAAACTGCACTCCTTGGTAGGTGAACTTGGTCCTGGCTGGGTTTCTTGTTAATCTTCTGGGGGAGGGGCCTGTTGTAGTGATTCTCAAGTGTCTTTGCCCCAGGCGGAATTGCATCACCCTTACCAGGGGCTGGGCTGAGTAATCCGCTCGGGTTTGCTTTCGGGAGCTTTTGTTCCCTGGGCGCTTTCCGTAGAGTTCCGGAGGGCGGGAATGAAGATGGCGGCCTCCCAGTCTCCGGCCCAGAAGAGCCGAGAGCCCGGGGCCCCACTCCTCAGTGCGTCCTCAGAGAACAGCGCCCAATTACTCCCGTCACACTGGCCTCTGGTCGCGCTCCGAGCTGACTGAGCCTGCAACCGGTTCAAGGTAACCCCGAGCTTAGCACTTACTCCTCGGCTCTGTCTCTGTAGCCGGCTTCCCCGTTCTAATATCTGCAAGCTCTGCAACACTCAGACACCCCTGATCCTTCTGTGACCCTGCGGGACCTGAGGCCACGCTGACCCCGCGTGGGCTTCACCCCGGTTAAGCCTCTGGAGCAATGTCCCTCAGCGGAACAGACTTTTAAAAGTCCTGATTTTGTGCTCCGTTGCTCCGCCGCTTGCCGGGAGCCGGCCCCTCCCCCCGTGGTCTATCTCCCCGTCGCTTTTGATTCACTTCTTCGCCAGTCCTACCTTTCAGAAAGTGGCTGATTTTCTGTTTCTAGAATTGCTGTTCTTCTCTTCCATCTCCCGTTGGATTTGTAGGTGTTTGCCATCTTTAGATAAGCTATCTAGCTGATCTCCCACTACCTGAAGTAGTCTCAGCCTGCTACTTCTCCGCCATCTTGACTCCTCCCCCCCGCCCCAAGCTGGTCTTTTCTTAATACCTCGTGGGGTGACCTAAACCATTTTGAAGTGTCAGAATCTCCTTCTTAAGCATCTTGCTTTTTCTTTAGTTTTTATTTTGTTGCTGGTTCTATTAACTGTTTCTATATAGTGAATTTTTTGTTTCACCTACTTTATTTTTCTTCCCTAGATGTTTCATCTGGCTTTAAGTCCTTGAGCATACTGCACAAATTTATAGTAACTTTTAAAATCCCAGTTTGCTAATTTTCTGATTTGTTATTTCGGAATTTTTGTTAACTGATTTTTCTCTTTATTGTAGATTACATTTTCCTGTTTGTTCACATGCCACCAATTCTTTTTAAATCAGAATAGGACACTGAATTTTACATTTTTAGGTGCTGGATTATGTCTTTAAAGAGTGTCAGCACTTGTTCTGGCAAGCAGTTAAGTTACATGTACATCATCTTGGTCCTTCTGAGGCTTGATTTTACACGTTGTTAGGGTAGGTTTGAAGCTGCCTTTATTGTAGGGTTATTGTACCCCCATTACTCAAGATGGGTGTCCCCTTGGGTTCTCTGCTGAAGGCCCTGGGTATTCAGTGAGCACACCGCTTTTGCTGATAGGACCTTGGATGTCTCCCAACCCTGTGTGATCTGCGAGGAAGGTTCAGCTTATGGCTTCCTGCATGTACTTTGCCTGGCCTCTGGAGCTTTACCTCACAGATACAGAGATTAGTATTTAGCAGAGGGTTCCAGGAGACCTGTATACAGATTTCTGGAGCTTTTTCTCTGTATAGCTTAGCTCTCTCCTTTATGGGACTCATCCCTGAAAATTCTTGCTGTTTTACTAGCTGCTTCATCCTTCTTGATTTTTGTCTCCTCAGCTTAGAAGAGCACAGTGCTCTGCTTGAGATTTGTACTTCTGTGTTCCAGTCCAGATAGTGGTCTGGGTAGAAGGCCAGGCGATGAAAGGGCTCACCTCACGTTTCTTTTCTGTCAGGGATTACTGCCCTACCTTGCCTAATACCCAGTGTTCAAAAATTTTTGCCTTTTATTTTTCCAAATTTTTAGTTATTTATAGCAGGAGGGTAAGCCTGGCTCCATTACGACTATAAGCAGAAGTCTGTTACTGTTTTTAATTAATTTTACTGTTGAACATGGAAGACCTAAAAGGCACCTCAGAGAACCTCCAGGATTCCAAATATAGTCTAGAATCCATTATCTAGTAGCGACCCAGTTTCTTCTTGGTTACTAGAATTAATCACACTAGCCCGTTCAGTAATCTCCTCTTGCCTTTTCAGTGGCATATAAAATCCAAAACATTCAGGTGATGATCTTCTAATTCAGGGGAAGCGTGTTCCCCAGTGGAGGCCTTCCTCCCTCTTAAATAAGACCTTCACACTCCTGTTGGGACAGGATGCAAAAGTTTTGTGTTTGTTTAGATATAACAGTGAGAGGGACCATTCCCATGGCCACACCTTGGTTGATACCTTTTATTTGGGCCTTGGAAGAAACTGCATCATGTATTTGGTTGCTCATTCAAAGCATATATTTTTATCCTTTAAGGTAAAACCCCTTTCAGTGTGTTGTCTCCCGCGGCACTGTAAATGAGTAGAGATGACAATCAGTAGCTTAAGAACCGACACATTTCCGGCACTGTGCCAGTTGTGGTAGATACTGTAGTGAACCACAGCAGTGCCCCCTTCCCCAGGACACACACTAGTGAAAGTCATATTGTAGACAAATAATAAACCAGTGCTTATGACATGAACCAAGTGGAAGAAGAGTAAGTGAATAAAATGCTAGAGCTATATTTCGATATAGGGAGCATATATGTTCTCCCTGAGGGGTTGACATATGAATAGAGAACTGAGTGAAATGAGGGAATGAGGCATGTGAATGTCCGGTGGGAAAACATTCTGTACAGTATAGACAGAACCTGAAGGCTTTCAGGCAGAAATGAACTTAGTGGACTGGAGACTAGATGTGTGTGACTAGCAGAGGAAACAAGGCAGGACATGGCAGTAGATGGCATTGGAGTGGTAGTGGGGACCAGGTGCTCTCTGGCCTTGTAAACCATGGTGTAAGGAATTGGGATAGAGTGGTCTGATCATAATGATTTTTCTTTTCTTTTTTTTAAAAGATTTCTGTGCTTGCTCTGTGGAGAATCAGGAAGATGATCTAGGTTATTTTATTAGCCTTTACCAGATATAGTTGCATGGGGAAAGGGGACAGTGGTAATGTGGTGTTGGTCATAATAAGGAAGAACACCTAGTAAGTCAGGTACTTAAAGATACTGCTGGAGGGGCGCCTGGGTGGCTCAGTAGGTTAAAGCCTCTGCCTTCGGCTCAGGTCATGATCTCAGGGTCCTGGGATCGAGCCCCGCATCGGGCTCTCTGCTCAGCAAGGAGCCTGCTTCCTCCTCTCTCTCCACATGCCTCTCTGTCTACTTGTGATCTTTGTCTGTCGAATAAATAAATAAAATCTTAAAAAAAAAAAAATACTGCTGGAAAAAATATTTTCCAAAAGTAAAACCCACTCCAAAGCCCCCTCAACCCTTTGTTCTGTATTCCACCTAAACTAAATAATTCATTTGCTAAATAAAGTTTTTCTGTTTCTATCCCATTACCTGTTTTTCCTCTGTTTCTTATAGCTGTAGTCATTTCTATTTTGAACTTTGTAATCTCACAAGTAATACTTTCTGGCATTGCTTTCTGATTTCTAGTGTAATTGTGTGTGTACATTATTCCTGTTAGACTATCAGCTTTAGAATATGCTATCATAATTACCATGAGTTCTGAACAAAAATTTGCCATCTGTAGTGATTATGTAGTTGAGGTTCCTCTTTCCCTAGTATTGCTGCTCTGAGCATCACAGCTCTTAGGTAGTTCAGAGGTTTTTTTGACAGATTCCAGTGAAGAAGTCTTTGATTAGCTCTTCCCTCACTTTCTTTTTGGTTGAGAAAAGGGGTTCACTTAAAAAAGCAGTTTTGGTCAAGAAAAGTTGAGAAAATTGAAAAATTGGCAGCATGGTACCTGCCACGCTTCCCTTGTATAGCTGTTCTTGGTCATTCTGGTTTGTGCATATAATTGGTTAATCCATAAATGTTCATTACAGAGAACGAGAAATGTATTATCCTGTCTTGTGTGTGTCAGCACTCCTGTAAACATGCAGTTTTAATTCTCACAGTGGCACTGTGAGGTAAGAAGGTTCCTCCTCTTAAAGAAATGCTGAAAGTCAGTAGATGGCTAATAAAGATCAGACCACATATAAAAGAGCCCTCTGGAAAATGTGTGAGTTTCAGAAGTATGATAAGGCCTTTAAGCTCGAGGATAATACATTTGAGTGGAGATAAGCCAAAGTATACATGAAGCAAATACTAGTGAATTCATAAGGTAAGTCATTGAATCTATTGGAGGTGATAAATTTCCTTAAGAATTAGTAAATAAGCTGGGCACCTGGGTGGCTCAGTGGGTTAAAGCCTCTGCCTTCGGCTCAGGTCATGATCCCAGGGTCCTGTGATCGAGCCCCGCATCTGGCTCTCTGCTACGCAAAGAGCCCGCTTCCTCCTCTCTCTTCCTGCCTGCCTCTCTGCCTACTTGTGATCTGTCAAATAACTAAATAAAATCTTTAAAAAAAAATAAAAAGAATTAGTAAATCAGGGGCGTCTGGGTGGCTTAGACGGTTGAGCACCTGCAACCTGCTCTGCTCAGCAGGGAGTCTGCTTTCCCCTGCTGCTGCCTCTCTCCCCTGCTCATGCTCTCTCTCTCTCAAATGAATAAATAAAATCTTTAAAAAAAAAAAAAAAGAATGAATAAAAACTAGGGTCCTTTTTGGGTAAATCAGACTTTATCTGAGGGTAACTATGTAGATTACTTTTTGGGAAACCACAACTGAGTATGTTTGAGTTAATTAAAATGTTTCTAAGTATTGACACATTGTGTGTGTTTTTATTAGCAGTTGGTAGCAAGACCTTCCAGTATGAACTATATGGTGGCTCCTGTAACTGGTAATGATGTTGGAATTCGTAGAGCAGAAATTAAGCAAGGGATTCGTGAAGTCATTTTGTGTAAGGATCAAGATGGAAAAATTGGGCTCAGGCTTAAATCAATAGATAATGTAAGTATTTTTCATTCTATTTTAGTTTGTCCAAAAAGCTTGAGATATTAAGTGATCACTGTTAGAATAATTTACAGTGAGAATGTTTTCATGCATTATACTGAACTTATAATCAAGATCATTTTAAATCTGCTAACTTAAAATTTTCTACTTGGAGATGCCTTATTGTGAAGAGGCAGGTTGGTACTTCATTACCTTTAATGAATTTTTTTTGAGTCTTCCGGAATGAAGTTCACTGGTCTTCATGTATTATAACGTAGTTTCTACAATTATGGTATCCAAATAGGGCATCGTATATGATGTTAAGAGACTGACCAGTGAGAATTGGTGTCCATTAATGGTGTGGGTATTTTTAAATTAAATAATGATCATTTAACTTGTGAAGTGGGTTTGCAGGTTTATTATTTCCATCCTTCATTTTGATTTAATAGGTCATTTTTTTGAGTAAAAGTGATTTTCTAATTAGGGCAGCTGTTCCTTTACCTTTGTAATTACTCTCCCTCTTAACCTCACCATACTGAAGAAATTAAATAGGGTTATTCTCCTAGGAGGCATTTAGGATTGTTAGGGATATGCTGAGTCTTTATCCCGATTTGTGGTTTTAGGTATTACCTCATGGATTCCTTATTAATCTTAAGTCTTGTTAGCTCAGTGCGTCCAGCTTTTTCACACAGAAAATGACAGTGAGTATCCCACACTGGTAAATGGCTGAGGCTGATCTTAGCAGGAAGCCCCAACCCAGACTGCCTACCCAGAGAGCTGAGGGCATCAATGGCCCTGACTTTACTGCTCTTCCTTCCTTTTCAGTGAATAATATATGCTGCCCATCTGCCAGGATTTCTCCTCTGCTCCTTCCTTTGTCTTAAAAGACAAGACACTCTTCATAGGCCCCTAGCTCCAATGCAGTTACCCCTGCAGTGGATTTCTCCATTTGGCCAAAACTCAATTGCTCTGACCATTTTACATGGTGCCTTCTGGTTTTCAGTACTACCCTGAAGTAAACTGTAAGACATAGGACATGTCTGACCCTAGGAGGATAGAAAGGGTCCAACTTTGTAGATGCTTTCTTTTTTTTTTACCAACTTTACTCTTCTTTTATACTTTTACATTTTCTTCAACATCTGAGATTGGGAGTTTATAGAAGGATAAATATCCACGTGGATATAGTTCTTAATTGACTAAACTTGAGTTTTCTATATTTCATAGTGGATTCCTTCTAAGAACAAGTGGTATTGAATGTACCCACCTTTTTAGGCTGTTAAATAAACTCTAATCTTATTTATCTAATTAGCAAATGGGTTAAGGAGTCCTTCAGTTGTAAGGAGAGTTATGACCTTACACTAAATTATCATTTTTTAAACTAAAAGAATTCATGAAATCTCTAACCGTAGACTCACTTTCCCCCTAAACAAAAACCATGTGCCAGTACCTCTTTTGTATTCTACCAGACTCATAGAAGCTTACATTTATTACGGCAGTCCTACTTTATTTTCCTTAGATTTTTTATTCCAAGACGAAGGGGATGATTAAGGTTGGTCAGGTGGGTGGTGGGTCATGGTTTGAGGTTGGAATTACTAGTGAGATATTACATTTTTGCCTTATTTCTTGGGGTCACTGTCTTGATAAATTTTCAGTTTCCTTTTTGGGAGTAACAACATATATTCATGTAGTTTCTCTCTCTCTTTACTAGAGTAGATTCCTAACTTTCCAGCATTTTTAAACCATATCATAACAGTGGTAAGTGACCAAAGTTATTTTATTATTCTCTAGGGCATATTTGTTCAGCTGGTCCAGGCAAATTCTCCAGCCTCATTGGTTGGTCTGAGATTTGGGGACCAAGTACTCCAGATCAATGGGGAAAACTGTGCAGGCTGGAGCTCTGATAAAGCACACAAGGTACTCAAACAGGCTTTTGGAGAGAAGATTACTATGACTGTTCGTGACAGGTAAGTTGACGAGACAGTTCAAATGGAGATTCAAGACTAGTTTTCCATTTTCTTAGGCTTTTAAGATTCTGTGGATATAATGCTTTGATGCAGAAGATTATCACCTTACTGATCAGTCTTATGTCAATTTGTGTGTTGCAGATTCTTCTTACATAGTTTTCTTTTTAAAGATTTTATTTATTTATTTGACAGAGATCACAAGTAGGCAGAGAGGCAGGGAGAGAGAGAGCGAGAGAGGAGGAGGAAGCAGGCTCCCTGCGGAGCAGAGAGCCCGATGTGGGGCTTGATCCCAGGACCCCAGGATCATGACCTGAGCCGAAGGCAGAGGCTTTAAGCCACTGAGCCACCCAGGCACCCCATAGTTTTTGTGGGTGGGTTTTTTTTTTTTTGTATAGCATTCTGGTTTTGTATAGATCTTATTTTAGAGCTTACGAAATTCATCCTCTAAGACATTATTTTCTGTCTCTCTAGATCATAAAAAACCAATCTTGGAAAAGTTAACAGGATGGTATCTCTGGCCTTGTTTCCCAGTTTGCTGCTTAAACATCTGGCATAGGATGGACACAGACAGTGCCAGGGTTCCTGCACAACTCCCAAGTGGTGTAGGAGTTCTAAAAACCAAATCTGGCTTTTTTGGGTGGCTATAGACTCTCTAGTTGTCAAAGTGGGAAGATAGAATATTTTATTTAGCAGTTAGTTTATAACCTAAACATTTAGGTGCATGAAATAAGGGCCTTTATTTTCTTGCACCGTAATAAGTGTTAAGTTACAGTTAGCTTTTGGATTTTTATTCTTCTCAGTTAAACTTGGGTTTTATATAACCTTGTTTCCAGTTCCTCACACATGATAGGTATTTTTAGTAAACATTTTGTAGATGAACACCAAATTTACCTTATATCTAAGGAAACTTTAAAAGAGTAACTTGGACCAATAGGAAGAAGGACATTTTTAATTTAATCCATTATGTTTACAGGCCCTTTGAACGGACAGTTACCATGCATAAGGATAGTATTGGACATGTTGGCTTTATCTTTAAAAATGGAAAGATAACATCCATAGTGAAAGATAGTTCTGCAGCCAGAAATGGTCTTCTCACAGAACATAACATCTGTGAAGTCAATGGGCAGAATGTCATTGGGCTGAAGGTAAGGAATAGAACTGGTGTCTTGTGCTGAAGTTTTATTTTAGCAACTGTCTTTTCCATTTGTCTGTTTCAATGGTATTTTCATCTTGACCCCCAATATAGAAACTCAGTGGGGAGATGGGTGATGGGAACCTGGGGCTCTGGCTGTGCTCTCGGGCCAAAGGAATTACTTAAGGCTCTTTGGAATTAACATTCCTGTAGCAAAGGGCTTGACTCTATGATCTTAGCAGTCCCTTGAACTAGAATTCTGTAGAGACATAGGCATTGAAGATTTTGGTGACATTCTGAATGAATGATTGCTCAGCTTTTTCAACCCAGGAATGGTAGAAAATTAGTAGTAGTTTCTGTTTGTATTAGTACCTTGTTTTTTTTCCTCTATAGATTCCTATTTTAAGGTATAAAGGTTTTCATTAAGACGTGTTCATTTCATAAACTTGATTAACACTGCACCATTTAATTGAGGGGTAGTATTGTACGGAAAATTATTTCATCTTAAGTAATGAAAAGATGATTCTTTAAGCTAAAATATTTACTCAGTTTACATAGCAATTTTGTTTCCATCTATAAAATTGCTATTCTCTAGAATTAAACTTGGTAAAAGAAACTGGAAAAAATGACAAATATCAAGGGTCAGATTTTAGAGATCTTAGCAAGATGTAAGAGGACATACATATTTACCAAGAGTAACATACTTTCATATTTTGAAATAAAGCCTTAATAATTTTTATTACATGTTTCCAACAGGATTCTCAAATTGCAGACATACTGTCAACATCTGAGACTGTAGTTACTATTACAATCATGCCTGCTTTTATCTTTGAACATATTATTAAACGGTAAGTAGACAGTACTTCAGTTAGATTCTTACGGTTTTCCGAGTTAAGGTACAGTGCTTATGTTAAGTCTCAAATCTTTGGTTCTTTTACTTAAGGGATGACATGGTATTTACCTAGAAATCTGAAGTTATTTATTTAAATCAGAGGAATTGGTAGGTAAGGACGATCTCTCACAACTTTGCAAGTACTGAATAAAATTCACCGTACACTTCCGAAATGTTGACATTTTCTAGTTGAAAAGAGGTATATGAGTAAAAGTGGGCAGGCTTTCATTTTAGCGTTCAGCAAAATGGGACTGCAGTTGCACTCTGCCTACAGCTTCTCTGCTCAGTAGAAATCTATTCTGGTGATTCATGTTGGAGAATTCTTGTCTGTGGGATGTTAGGAGTAATGCTTTTATTCCGAAAGCATCTGAGGAGGTAAGTAGAGGCATGCAGGGATGTGGGTGTGGTGCTATGATGGGCCTCAGGAAAGGAGGTTTGGACACCTCTGAGTGGGGGAATAGGAGAGAGGCAGCAAGTATTGTTACCTTCCCTAGAACTTTTAAAATCCTGGCTTCTATCATAGCTGTTTTTGCCAAGCCAACTTAGATCCTTCTTTCAGAATCTATCTTGCCTGTGGAAATAAGATTTAAAAGATTAAAAACATAATACCTTAATAAAATTTTTCAGTTTCTGGGTAGAAAGAAAAGGGAAGTGTTACAGTCAAGACTACTTGTTCTCAAGTTCTCTTAAAACAGTGACAGGTTCCCCCTTACCATGTCCCTCCCAGTTCATAACATTGTTGTCATTTTCCTTGTTTTTAGTCATCAGCTTTAATATATGAGGTCTTACTTATATCTTATCTTACTTTTCTAGCGAAGGTGCAGATGGTGTTTCACACTGGCTATATTTGCAAACAGATGGATTTTCCCTGAGACTAGATTTCCCCTGACACTCCTAGGTCTGAACTCATGTAAAACAAAAACAAAAACCCTTCCCTTTCCCCACAGTCCCACTTGATGCTAGCAAGTGCTGAATTTGAATGGGCATGTTTTTGGATTAGCATAGCCTTTTTGAAAAAAGAAACCCAAACCACACTGTTTAATAAAGTGACTCTCTCATAGGATGGCACCAAGCATTATGAAAAGCCTGATGGATCATACCATTCCTGAGGTTTAAAAGTCATGGCACAATGGAAACTTCACTGAACTCCAGTTTACTTCTTGGGCAACTTAACTTTATATTATGCACATGAAGCTTTCTAGGAGCCAGAGAGCATATGCTGCATGAAGACCTTTCTATCTTACATTATGGCTGGGAATCTTACTGTCTTGATTGGATATCTTATTCACACTTCAAGATTGTTGTAGCCTTATCCTGGTTTTACTGATGTGAAACTTTGGACAGATTTTAACTGATTTTCATTGAGTAGTTTCTCTACTGGAAACCCGATGCTTTTACAAGCCATTATCATTAGAGTGACTGATACAGGCTTAGCTCTGTGTTAGAACCAATCACCTTTATCTTACATATCAAGTAGTGCTGTTCATATTACTTTAGTTCTATGGTATAATTGCATTTTTAATGTGTAACCATAGTACATGTAGAATGACTGCTTTTGATGTTTTTTTAGTTTTGTGTGTGTGTGTGTGTGTGTAAAATACCAATTAACACACTGGTTTCATTCCATGTAAGCATTATACAGTGTATGTAGGTTGCTAGAGATTGTGTTGATCATCATTTAATTGTAACTACCTTTACTTAATATGCTTCAACTGTCGCCTTAACTGTGTTAAGCATCTAGAATAAAAGCCAAAATATAACTATTGCTGCCTTTCTAAAACCCAAAATGTAGTTCTGTGTTAAACTGAAATGTACACTAGCCCAGAACAATGTATTGGTACATACTGAGCTATAGCATAGCTGCTTAGTTGCATTTGAGATTTTCTAGTCAATTGTGTAATGGAAATTTCTTTCTTCTAAAACTTACCGATATTACTTTCTGTGAAATGATTCACTATATATTAAATGTAAAAATTCTTATACCAAATAGGATAAAGTTTTGACTCCCTTTATTCATTTGTAGATTAAGTGGAATAATACCTAATTTTGTCTTTAACATTCTGTAACCTCACTGCTTTGGGGTGGTCTTAGGATGTTTCCCAGGTAATCTGTTCCATTTCCTGACCCCTCCCTACAAAATGGAAGTGACACTTTATCCTGATTTTTTTCTTTATGGTTTATGCCTATTTCATCTTAATTAAATATGTATAAACAAAGTGGACTTTGAGTCTGTTGCATCATTTGAAAGCTGTCAGTGCCCTTCACCAAACTTTTGCATGACTTAGAGAACGGGCACATGAAGTTCACAGCTTGGGCCTGTGGGAATCGTCTCCTGCAGCAGTGAGCATCCAGAGGCCCTGAGAAAAGCCGTCTGTGCCGAGAGAGCAGGTGTGTCAGGAAGCGTGCTTCCGCCGGGGAACCGCAGGTGGCCAGCCTGCACACTTAAGGCTGAGCATCAGGAGCTCAACGGAGGCCATGGGTGCTCTCGGCAATACCTGGGACCAAGTCATGTCCATGACACTTAAAACTGACTTTGCAGGGGCACCTGGGTGGCTCAGTGGGTTAAAGCCTCTGCCTTCGGCTCAGGTCATGGTCCTAGTGTCCTGGGATCGAGCCCCACATCGGGCTCTGTGCTCTGCAGGGAGCCTGCTTCCACCTCTCTCTGTCTGTCTGCTTCTCTGCCTACTTGTGATCTCTGTCAAATAAATAAATAAAATCTTTAAAAAAAAAAAAAAACTGACTTTGCAGACTGTTACCCTGGGTCATTTTCCCTCCATATCATACAGCCTACAAGATAAAACTCTCCTACAGCCTTTAAAAACATTGTCCTAATATAAAAGGAGGTCAGTAGTGTGGCTTTACAGCTTACCTTGTTGAAATTTCGAAAAGCACCCCAAACAGGGGTTCCCGGTTTACCTACCTAATTACCTAGATTTGAGTCTGAGGATGGTTCCAAAAATGTAAGAATGAATGACATTCATGTCATTTTATGGTTTTCTAGAAGGAACAATACTTGAAGTTCTTAAAAGGTACTACTAGTCTTGGTAATCATTTAAATAAGAAAATGAAAACTGCTTTCATTACAGAAAAATATTTTTAATGTAGAAAAGATGAGCATTTAATAGCTATAATGAAATAAACCATTCCTATACACAGTAAACTTAATTGCTAATCATTCCCCAGGTTCTTAGAATCTGAGGACAGTAGGTTATACAAAGTAACCACTCCAAGAAAACACATACCCAAAAACCCAGTGGGCAGCAATTCTTAGATTAGGAAGACAAAATAGTGATTCAGAAGTAGTAGAGAATACTGCAAGTTTTCTTGGAAAATTCAGAATTGTTCAGTGTTTCCTGAAAGTTTTCCCATCTTAGTTTAGTATCTCTTAGCTACTTCTCTTTGCCATCCAAACCTGCCTTCTGACCATCAGCATACTAGGATGACCATCCACCTTTCAAATGTAATGTTTTCTCCCGAACACTGTGATATCTTTGTCTGCCTTAGAGGATGGCAACTAATGGCTTTCAATGAAGTTGCCATGATTTAGGAAGTTTTAAACCACAAATGTCTCATGTGGTAAAACTTCTAATTACTATCATTGCACATTCACCAGTTCATTTAAAAGTCTGGTTTAAAAATACATTAAATAGAGTTCAACTTAACATTCAAGAGAGGAAAGGCACTTAATACTGCAATTTCCAGAACATAATTTGTCTGTCTTCCCCTCCCGTGATGACACTGCTACACTGTTCATTCATCCATATACATGTCACAGCACCTAAGAGAAAGAGACCTTGTGGTTAGGTGGTAAGTTGACCCAGGCGCCCCCCAGAATGTTCTCTCCAGTACTATGTCATCTGTCATCCTGTAATTGGTATGTAAATTAAAAATAACTGCTTGGTATAGGGAACTTGTGAGCAATAAAACCACTTAAACATAAAGCTAAAATAACGGATGCAAACATACTCCTACTGCAGTGGTTAGGACACGGATGAGAGGAGAAGGCAGGAGCTGGTGGAAGTTGGCTAATTCCATTTCTGCAGGAAGGAGTCAAATAAATGTTGCTTAAAGCCAGTAAGTTGAGGATGACCTAAACAGATCACTTTATGATGTTAGGAAATAACCACATAACTTAGTGACAGAGGCAAAGGACTGAATGGGGGGGGGCAGTTACTGGTCACAGTAGAAAGTAAATAGATACATAGAACTGTAGTTATTAGAAGAATTAAAAACCATAAAATCTTCCAGATGATCAGGAGGCAACCATGCAAATGTAAGCAAATGCAGTGAATCTCTACAAGATACTACGTGGGAAAAAAAACAAACGGGCAGAATAGTTAATATGCCTATAACCTACCCTCTCAATAATAAGGGCACAACTCCAGGACACGTATCATTCAGGGAGGAGAACAGTGGGGTTGGGGTGTAGTCAGTAGTAATTTTCTCATTGTAATTTTTGTGTTGTTTGGGGTTTCATTAAAACTTTGTGCCTGTATTTTTAAAACAATGATTCCAGCTTTTACTGTGGTTTTTAATTCTCCATGTGGAAGTTAACATAAAAACTTCCTTTTTGGAATCTAATGTCTTGTCAACATAAATCTCAGTCCCAAAGGACTCCACCTGGCCAACCAAGGTGCTGGAGGGGAACACTGACAGTGTGGAGGGAAATGGTGTGTTTTCTGCCTGGGAAGAGTATGCTTCCTGATGGGAAAAGCAGTTTGAGTTCAGCATTTTAGGAAGAAAGGTGAAGTCAGCTGCTTAACTGCTTACCTGCATGGCCCTGTATTCTCTCACTGATTTTTCCTCCGAGCAGGTCCCAAACAAGCAGTTCACCAGACTGACTTCCAGATAAAACAGAATTTCCGTCCCAGATAAAGCATCTGCAAGCATGATTTAAAAATGATTATCTGATCAGTCCTCATGAAGGAGGGGTTCTATTACCCTGCCAAAGCAAGCCCACATGACAGGATCATGAACTTGTTTGTACATGTCTTCCTCCACTAGTAACTCAGGAAATGTACCTCTGGGTCTCGTCCGAAGTCAGAGAAGAGATGAGCATTCCTGTCTGCACATCTATGACGTTTAGACAGCCATCTTCCCCTGTGCTGAGGACATGGCGACTGTCTGTAACACAAGGTAAAATGGCTTCAGAAGTGTGTTGAAGATTATTCTGACATTTTATCTCTGACATAACGTTCACTTTTGGGCTCCTTGAGCGAACTGTACTTAACCAATGACTCTCCTCTCCTTGAAATGCTTCTAAGACACTGGGCTGATGACCCTTTGGTGTGAGTTCATTTGCATAAATTTAATTTCTCTGGGGAGCTGACGAATTAAGAACAATGTCCACTACAGGTTTTCTGTGGGTGCACATGGCACGAGTAGATGTTACTGTGCCTGAAACAGCCTCAGATAAGGCGACACTTATCGGCAGACTGTTTTTCTTTTTACATTCTTCTCTATTTTAAAGTAATAATTCTGATTCCCCCAGTTATCATCCATAGTAAAAAGGATCACACTACCTGGGCTAAAAGCAGTATCACATACAGTCCCTGAATGGCACGGGATCTGATGCAATATGGTGGCTGTAGTGAGGTCCCAAATATTCACTGTGCCTTCTTTGGTGCCTGAAACCAACAGTGTACTTGCAGCATTTAGACTAATTGTATCTACCTAAGGAAGAAAACACAAAGTATTCCACTTAGAATCACAGTCATTAGCGGTTTCCCTAGGCTGACTCCACTATCGGGACACGATAAAGGTTCAACTCCACTGTACGGTGTTACTGATGTGACTACTGCAGATGTGTTTCAACATTGCCTACTGAATTATTTAAAAATGAAATTCTTCATATGCTAGTGAATAAGAGGAAATATCGGTAGGGTAACTGCAATGCTGGATTTTAAGATTTTTTAAATTTTAGAGCAGGTGCGTGGGGGGAGCGGCAGAGGGAGAGAATTTTCAGGTAAACTCCCCACTGACTGTGGAGCTGGGCACGGGGCTTGAGCCCACAAACCATGAGATCATGACCTGAGCCAGGACCTGAATCAGGAGTCAGATGCTTCACTGACGCAGCCACCCAGGCGTCCCATTTGCTGTTTGAACGTAGTCTAAAATTGACACGTTTCGGGATGATGCCTCCATGAGTTATAAACCGTACCATGATGCCAGGCGGTCTGAAGCACAGCGGACCCATGCTTATGTGAGGCATTTGGGAAAAGGGGTGGGGGGATCTCAAGGTTGTATTTGCATGTCCACCTGGAGTTACAGACTACATAAATATCTCTCAACCTCAGCTCATCTGCCGACCATGCAAGTCAGGCATCAATTTGCACCTCGGAGAAAGGGCAGTACTGTCAGCTCTAGTGGGAGGTGCAGCAGGGGGACCCGACCCAGTGCAGCCAGCACGAGCGTGGCTCTCCCGGCTCATGTGTGCCTGTGTGTGCCCCCCAAGACTCTCAGAGGCCGTCATGCTGGACAGACGGCCCTGTCTACTGTCTGTGTCAGAAAACACGAAAATCTATGCCCCAGATAGTTTGAGGGTATCCAAATATTCAGTGTCATGCTCAGAAATCGGTATTTTGGAAATCGGATGGGACGGTAGTTAATTCTCAGGGAAACGGCAAATTGGAGGGGGAAAAGAAAGCAGACTTGGGAACCCAAAGAGTCAAGTCAAAAGAACGGAGAGCCCATGCTCTCCTCCAGTAAGCAAAATAAAATGAAAAAGAAAAAACAAAAACAAAACCAAAAAAACACAGGTAAAACCAACTGCCGCCACCCTCCCTGGGACTCAGGCTCGGCTTTTGAGCAGTGCTGTGGCTGGTACTCACGCTGACATCGTGCTCCAGCTCAGCCAGCATGTCAAACTGCTGTCTCCTGGTGCATGTCATTTCTGCAGGAACACCAGACCACACCTAAGGTGGAATATATTGCAGAAGGTATTTGCAAACATTTAGAACGAAAGCATGTCTAACACATTCAAGAAAAGCACTCTTGACCAACCAATTGCCAGTTAACGTACTCGTCAACGAAATAAAGCTGTGAAATGCTTCCAGTTCCTTTCCTGCAGCGCTCGTGTTTTTATTCCCATTACAGCACTCACTGAGTGTCCGCTGCACCTGTGTGTGTTTCTACCCTCTGTACTTGCTGTTGTATTCTGTGGTTTTTGTGCAAACTGAGGAAACATGAGTGTAAAAGTGTTGTGTCTACTGAGGGTTTGAGAAGACCCAAAAAGGCAAGTCACCAAAAAACTTACTAAAATTTAAAAAAAAATTAAAAAATAAAAAAAAAAACTTAATAAAATTTGGTGTAGGCAAGAAAACTCATAAGAATGGGGGAAATCCTGAAAAACTCTTGAAGGAATTCTAACAAGTTTTAGGTTCTTGATTTCATATTACGTAAATGCAAACTGGAAGCTGAGGATGATGAGTACTGGTGTGGTCTTTGCGAGATAGTTGTGTACGGTCCCAAAGAAGAGGGCAAGGATGGCCCCAATCAACAGAATGATGAATGAACGCATTTATATGTTTTGACTTGAAGTAAAATGCATTCCCTTTTCATGAGTCCTCACTTAAACTTGACAATTTCTGACTGACAGATTAACCGCTAGTTCTGGCTGTGTGAGAGAAGAGGGGCTGTTACTGTATACAGATGGCCCTTGAACAACATGTGGGGGGGAAGATCTCCTACCCCCTACTCCATGCAGTTGAAAATCTACCTGTAACTTCGACTCCCCCCAGATGTCACTGTTGACCGGGAGTCTTACAGTAACATAAACAGTTGACCAATGTATTTTGTGTTACATGCACTGTATACTGTAGTCTTATAGTAAAGTAAGTTAGAGAAAAAAAAGTTAAGAAAATCATAAATTTACAGTATTGTATGTGTTTATCAGCAAAACTCCATGTCTAAGCAGACTGTGCAGTTCAAACCTGTGTTGTTCACAAGTCACCTTTATTTCTCTATAACTCTGTTTTGTGAATCCTGCATCCTTCCAACGCCCAGCTGAGTGCACAGTACGGAAATCGGGAAAACTTCCTATTGAGAAGTACACATGTTGGGAAAACAGAGGTGATAACATTCAGTATCTTTACAGATCACTGACGCTCTGTGAAAAGGAGTGAAGTGAGGGAGCACACTAAAAACAGGTGTACAACGGTTTATAACACTTGCAGTATCCAAACATTTTAAGTTATAAAATCTATACAGACCTTCACGGTGGAGTCCCACGATGCTGAATACAGTCGGTTGTCATGCCAACAGATCTTACTAACGGCATCGTCATGTCCCATTAACGTGTCCTGGCGTCTTGCAAATGCTATAGAGTAAAAATAGCTAACAGAAACGAGAAGGAAAACTATTAAAAAGCATTCCAGCTCAATTTGGAGACTCCTAAACACATATTCAAGGAGTATTATGTTGTTTAATTCTACACTAAGACTCACTAGAATTACAAAATACTATTCTAATGCTATTACACCAAAATACTCAATATCTGACTTTGAAACTAGAAATCTCCAGGTCTGGCTCATTTGTGTTTTCACCTCAGGTTAAAACAGAAAAACAGAGTTCAGTGGGAGAAATTACTAGATTCAAACAATCACAGTCAAAGCCGCCAGTACTAGCCTTATCTAATATCTGTTCCTTTTCGAAAACAATGCAGTGTCCCATCAGTGGAAGACCTGTCTTTTCCTGCCTTCTGTCCACAAAGACAGCCATGCCGTGTGTGGAATTACACAAGGAGCACACTCAGATACATACACGTTATTATCCCACGAAGAACTTATGACGGTGGCATCTCCTGGCAAAAGTAAACAAGATGATAAAGCCTGAAATACAAATGGTTTGACATAATTATATACAATAATTAGTAAATCCCTAACATGTTAAAACTATCTCATAAGCTCCCCCCAAAATTAATGCTTAAATTCTGTTTATTCTGGCCTTCCTCGTTATTTGGGAAGTGTTTTTTTTCAACTGGCTAATTCCAGATGCTAGGTTCCTTCCCAAATGTAAACAAGTAAGTGTGTCCAGGGCACATGGATCTAGCCTGTGGGTGTTCAGGGGCTCTGGAAGGCCCCCACAGCCCTGGGCTGGACGAACTCCTCATGCAGGTAAATCGTGAGGGGAGGGTGGGCTGCATGTTATTCTCAAGGAGCCTCTCTGGATTACAGGCTTCCACAGGTAGGGAGAACTTCCAAAATTCTTTAGGGACTTTCAAAACCATTCGGATGGTTTACGTTAACAATAAAATGTGTTTTTTCAGAAGAATTGGCTTTCTAGAATTCAGGGTCCTATCCACTCAGAAATGCACACATTATTTAAAAAACACAGACATGTTTAGTTTGACAGTTCCAGAAAAGGAAAGAATTATTAAGGGGAATTCTACTGGTTGGCACTTCTAGTTTTCTAGGCTATAAGCAAAATCACTGTATTCTGAAAAAGAAGCACCCTGAAAAATGTTTAAATTGAATTTAGAAGTAATGTCACTGAGGTACCTTGTAGACATCACACAGGAAAAACCCAACTGCTTGGGGAGAAACAAAATGCCATTATGTGTGTATAAAACAAACTGCTACATGAATTTCCATCATATCACTGGCTTAAAATTAAAACGAACTCACCATATTTGAAAACGATATACTTCTTTGTAGCATTTTGGATTCCTTGGAGAACATCTTCAAGGTGGAATCTGGTTTAATGATGAGAAGGCAGACATATAAGAAAGATTTCCTGACCCTTACAGAGGATAGACAACAGTAGAGGCAGGAGGAGCAGGGCAGGAGGTGAGGCCAGAGGATCTGGGGCCCCATCTGGTGACCTGTCACCTCATGACAAGGAAACCAACGCATACCCAGTCCAGGCCCAGCACACTGCTCACATTTCAGCATGACTGAACCCAGAACAGGCCTAGTCACTGATAGAAGCTCAAAGTTAAAGAGAAGGAGCGCCTGGGTGGCTCAGTCAATTAAGCGTCTACCTTTGGCTCAGGTCATGATCTCAGGGTCCTGGGACTGAGTCCCACATTAGGCTCCCTGCTCAGTGGGGAGCCTGCTTCTCTGTCTCCCCCTCTCCCTCCCCCAGCTCATGCTCTCTCTCGCAAATAAATAAAGAAAATCTTAAAAAAAAAAGTTAAAGGGGAGTAAAATAGCAATTTTAAAGACAACAAAAATCATGGAGATATATATTTTTTTTTAATTTTTTTTTTTAACCAATTGCCCAGTTATGGTATGCTACCCCTGAACTGAATTAGCATTTATGAAGCAACCACTGACTTCCTAAAGAATAATAAAGCAGGGATTAAAATGTCCTTGCCTAACAGAAGCTTGAAAAAGTGTACAAAAGCAATCTCTTAGGAACCAAGACTTACAAAAATGATAATGAACTCTGAACATCCCATATTTGAAACAAGTAACACATTTCCTAATTTGTAAACTCACAACATGATGATGAAAAAGGTCAAAATGAGCTTGAAATAATTTCTTCGGTATAGTAAAATTTAACATTTTGACCTCATTTTTGCAACACCAATACACACAGATCCTGAGACTTCATCAAGCCGAAACACTTTCTAGCATTCAGCTTGGAAACAAAGTCCAGCGAGTGAACACAGCATTACCTGAACTTTACCCTCTGGGTGACACTCAACTCTGAGTCTCTTCCTGACCGTGCTGCTGACTCTGAAGAATGCCTTTTCTAGCAGGCATTTCTGAGTCATCACCACAAAGTCTACTGCAGCTTATGAATGTGGGGGATCCTACGGGAAGCCGTAAGTCAGCCCAGGATGTGAGGATGCTGTTCTCAAAACAGATGACTCTGTGCCCATGCTAGAGGGGACCCTGCTGGAGCCTGGCTCGCAGCTGATGAGCCCTCCGAGTGCCCACGCAGCCAAACATAGACCGCGTGTATATGAGCAAGGAAGTGGTGACAAGCAGGATATGCCTAAATCGGTACTACATGTTATTAACAGAAGAAACAAAGAAAAAAACAAAGGCTTCTCACTTAAAAAAAAAACCAAAAAACCCTCTTTCCCCTTCACTTGGTAAATTGACAAAGAAGGGATATCATGCTTAATGAGCATCCAGGGTTTCAAGCCTCAACGCTCCCCAACGTCCCCACTCATGGTTTACAAGGTCATACAAGTACAGGAGGCTGAGGGACTTAAACCCTGGTGGACAAATCCAGCTACGAACACAGGCTCTGCTTGCCGATAAAGCTTTAGTGAGAAAATGCTTTCACGATACAGCATTCGGTCTCGTGTGATGGTGCTGGCACACTCGGGGGACAGGATACTGGGAGAAGGCAGAGTGCTTCCCTCCGTCAGGGCACCTGAGACCCCAGTGGGGCCCCGTGTGTGTCCTGCATGTCACTTCCTTTGGCCGACAGCAGAACCATTATCTGTGCTTTATGCAAAGTTCTGTTGTTTGCATCCTGAGGTTGTCCCTGAGAGAGCGAGGAAGGACGTGCTACAGATAATGAACCACCGTGAGCGACTCTGAGAGCAGTAAGCCTGAATTCTCCGGGAGGGTTTGGTTGGACGGCACCATTTCCAGACTTAATCGATGAAACACATAATTTCCTCCGATAAGGCTAAAGGAAAAGTCCCCTCCAAAACAGCCAGCTACTAACTGTCAGAGCAAGTTGTCTTAAAACTTAAGCAGGATGACTAAGAATCTGATAAGGTAGAACATTAACAATGTGTGCCTTGGATTTCCAGTGAAATTCCACAACAAATGCCCTGAAATGCATAGCCTGCGACACAAATGAAACACCTAACAGCAAAGGTGCACTTGTCCATGCTCCCATGCACGGTGCCCTGGGACGCCCCGGCTACACCCTGCAGCTGCCCGGCTGTTCTGGGGCTCCCTCTTAGCAAGGAGCCGGGAGTGAGCTCTTTGTGCCCGCCCTGTCCCTGAAATTTCTGGAAACCTCGTCAGCAATGGAATCTCATGATTGTTTCTGGCAAACTACAGTGACGTTTTCTGCTAAATGCCACAAACTGCTCAAAAGTCACTTTCTGTGGAGACAGCACACCCAAGTGCAATCCTTGACTTAGTGCCAAGAAACCTGGATTCTTCACAGTTCCAGGTAAACCACTGTTCAGGCAGGAAAACTCACCTTGTGAGGTTGTAAACACGGAAGACCCGTTACAAGAGACAGCTATTCCGGTAACTGCCCTGTTTAAAGACAGAGGTTTATAAGTTACCAACATCCATGAGCTGGGACACTCGTCTCTTTCAAGTCCTGGATTTCATTTTACCAAGTGTCTCTATTTATTTTTGTCACAGCCTGTCTGCTGGATCTGTCCTGCACACATTACACCTGCCACGACCAAATCATCAGTTGGGAGCTTCAAATTTTGTTTCTGGTGAGACCTGCGGCCGGAAACCATTCCCCCTCTCAGCTTCCCTAGCTGCCACAGTCAAAGTCTAACATCTTCCCGATGCCGTGAATTGGCTTCTCCTCAATTCCACCTTATCTGACTGTCCCCCAAATTGCTGAAACTCTCCTTTATTTACAAGCACTTCACTTGCTTTGCTGCTGAATCGAATTTACCGAGCCTCGGTTCAGTGAGGATACTCTGTCTGGTGCTACCATTTCCTTTTATGGGTTCCTTCCTGTCTACACTGCCTGGGAGGACAGGGCCTCTTTCTGTGGGTCACTTAGAGACGCTGAGAAAAGGAAAGCCACTGTTAGAACGAATGAGGTGGAACTATGTATTTCGTGGCAGGAGGGTGTGCTCTGGTCCCTAGCCTTGGCTCTGCAGTGGACTGGGACATTCAGACCCACCCGTGACCCATGGTGTCTGTGGTATCAATATGTCAGGATATCTGTGCCATCGAGCAGACCCCAAGGCCCGTCTCTGAGCCTGGGTTTTCTCATCCATAACAGGACGGCTCAGGGGAGCTCAGTGCTTCTCAAGCCTTCCTACCAAAATGTGCGAATATCCTTAATGGCGGAAGTCTAAACACTCATAACCCCTCTGGGCCTGACAGCAAGCCCTTTTTTTAAAAGTATGGGTATTATTTTTAAAACTCCTGTGAACTTCGCCCTTTGATCTCTCTCCCTCTCCACATACTTGTTGTAAATTTTTAAAAGGACACATCTCCCCCTACAATATCTGTGAGTTCAACACTTGGAGAAGATCTACCATGTTTCTCCCATCAAAGACTTGAGGGGCTGTGTACCCCAGTTTGAGAGGCACAGAACTACCTGCTGGCTGCAGACCCCCTCCTGGGCTCCAGAAGGACCAGCAGGAGACATGACAGCATGGAAGGCTGACATAAATCCATTCTGTGCCAAATTTCCCCTTGCCACGTTGACTTCATCTGGCTGATCACCACAGACATTGTGGGGGGGAGAAAAACCCCTCAAGACAACACGGAAAGAGAGTTCCCACCCCCTTAACTCCACTTAAAACAGTGTCACTCCAGGTCAAGACCCCGGGTTTGGCAAGGACGGCAGAGGGGCACTCTTACTCTTTGTGGATTTTATATTGCTCCTGTAACTGCAGTTTGGTGATGTTATTCCAGGCCAGGCTTTTACTTTCTTCGGTCAGGTCTTCAAAAGACTCTTCACCTGGAGAGACTACATTGAGTTGCTGCCCAGTGAGTCAGCCGAATTGTTAACAAGCACCGGAGACAACAAGCATCAGGGCCATAACATTTTCTATTAGAACCAAATGACCAAGGAAACACAGTGCCCCACTGAAACAACTACCCTGAAATGTGCTAGGGAGCTCCACATTCATCAAGGGAAAATGACAAAATGTATAATCTAAATAACATAAAAATCCTTGGGAGAAAGACTGAAAAGTATCTTTGAAGACTGAAGTCTTTTTATACTCTTACCAGTGTTCTCGAAGTTTTCACTCAGCCCTGGCCTTAGGAACTTCAGAAAACACAAGACTGAGTAACTATTTCCTTGTCAGTAATCATTGCAAGAGCCTGACTGTTCCCTAGAAATGCTGCGGTTTCTTTTTGGTTTCAAGGGGGAGAAAGCAGACTTGCATTCCAAGCTACAAGTGCCCTGGCCAGGATAAGGGAAGCCGTCCCTCCTGTCATCTGAAGGGCCGGGCAATTGCTCCCTAGTATGATCACAAGACAGTGGTATGAGCCTGGTGACTAAGCAGGCACGGGTTTAAGAGGCATCACAAGATAATCTCATGGTCTTTATGACTGAACCCCGTGGGCCATTATCTCTTAGAGAAGAAAGGCCGGCTAAACGGGGTCCCGGGCCCCTGCGAGCTGTTCCTCCGACCTGAGAGTACACTCCACTCTCGGCACCTATGAGGTCCCCGGGTGCCTGGAACAGACAGGAGGGTAGATGATAAGAAATCAAGGGACTTTGCTCCCAGGGTTCCACATAGTGTCAGATTCCTCCTGGGAGCCTGTGGGCCTGAGGCCATACTATATGAAATGTGAAACACAGGTAACTGGCTGAAGGGGAGTACTCTTTCCTCCTTCTCCAAATACTAGATGTCACAATGCGGTCAAGTTCATTTTAGCACCCAGCACATGCCAGGCACACAACAGACTCTGTGTGTGTTCATCAAATGACTAAGAAAATGAATCAAATGAAGGAAACCAAGCACCCTGGATTCAAGATCTGTATGTGGGGGAGGAGGAGGAGAGTGAGGGATGGCGACGTTGTTTCTGGGAGAGAGCAGGGGAGAGCGGAGCCAGGGTGACCGTGGGAGCGGCACGGCGGGGACGGCCAGTGTGAAAGTGAAGGGCTAAGCATCAAACACTGGCTCGGAAAACCACAGAAAAGGTGAAGGAGAAAAACAACAGCAACAACAAAATACTGCCACGTCTCGTGGAATGGGAGTAATACCACCGGGAAAGAAAAGTAACCTGATTTTCTTTAAAATCAGCAGTTAAAACACAGACGAAACAGCAACAAAAACAGGCTTGTCGGAGCTGTTTTTCAGGAGAATGGGAGGACGGCCGTCTGGTGTCCCACCACAATCACCCCTGAGCCACGCAGCTGTTCGTGGCTCTCCTGTTCTTCAGAACCTTCAGGAACATCTGACTCAGAAAAAAGAAGTCATGGGTGCTCCCGTTTATTCTCCTTCCACACTCACCTGGAGAATCTGCCGTGGGATCATCAGGACTGCAGGTCTGGGTGACAGTTTTCAACTTTGGGGTGATCCGTCGAGGATGTGGGGTCACAAAGAGCTGTTTTGGCGTCTGGCCAAACTCCAGGATTTGGGTGAGCATGGCCACTTTCTCGTCAGGGTCCTCGATGCTTTGGGACAGAACACAAGTAATGCAGTGAACCATGAGGTTCGAGTCCCCCAAGAGCACAAATGTCAAACAATGCGGCTCAACGGAATAGAGATTTAATCCTCATACAGGAACAGTGACTCTGTGCCAGGACAGTCCAAGCCTCATCACAGATCTTTAGAGAGTTTTCTGAGGCTCGGTGACTTACCTAACGGGGAAAGCAAGATATAATTCACTGTAAAATTTCCACACCTTCATATGATCAAAGAGCTGCATTCATCATTTAGACAAAGAGGTTTTTCGTAACTCAAGTAGAAACTCCTTCTAGACGTATAGGTACCTGTTCAAGTCTACGCCTCCTTCATAGGTCAGGGGATGAAATACTGAAAAAAAGATGAAAAACTCTCTTGAAAGGGGTAGTACTGTTTGGTTATAATAGACATTTCACACAGACTCTTATATAAAGCTCAACAACTTTGAACTCATGGTTTCAAAGAAACTCATGGTCACTTTGCAAGAAAAGACTAATAAAAACCAACGACAATAAATATCAACCCGAGTTATCTTTCACTGAGCAGAAATCCAATTGGCAGGTGAGACAGCCTCTTATCTCCAGGTGTTTGCTGGTGAGCACCTCTAACCCCAGGGGAAGCGCCAGTCAACCCCCATTGCCCTGCACCTGTCCGCCCTGACCTGCTGGCTCCTCTTCAGCAGCTGACACCATTGGCAGCCCGGCGGCAGGTAAGAAGGAGCCCGAGGAGGGCATGCTGCTGCTGGTTTCTTTCTGCTCCATTAATAGGAAGCCCTGGGGCCCTTTAGAAGAAGGAGGGGTGGGGGGCACTCTTCTACCATATTCTGATTGAGTTTGAATTGAAATCGATGAGTGGGAGGAGAGTACATGTTAACATTGGAAGACTTTAGAAAAACACCTCTGGGGATCAGGGCGAAGTTGGGGTTCTTTAGCAGAAGTCCTTCCTCCTCTGTTACTCAGTACCTGACCCAGGGCCATGGAGCTGGGGGCCGCCCTCTGCTGACAGAAGATGCTTCTGCCAAGCACGAGCTTGGGCTGCTCTGGCCGCGTTTTTTTTTTCTCTCTCTCTCTTTTTTTTTTTTAATTTATTTATTTGACAGAGATCACAAGTAGACAGAAAGGCAGCCAGAGAGAGAGAGAGAGAGAGAGGGAAGCAGGCTCCCTGCTGAGCAAAGAGCCCGATGCGGGACTCGATCCCAGGACCCTGAGATCATGACCTGAGCCGAAGGCAGCGGCTTAACCCACTGAGCCACCCAGGTGCCCTTTTTTTCTCTTTTTGCTTGTGTTTTCATCAAACGCTATATGACATTTCTGAGACCCTCACTTACCATTATGGGCCTCAACGGCATCACCTCCTTTCTGCTTGTAGCCGAATATTAGATCGATCCACTCGTGGAGGTGCTCTGACACGTAATTGCTCTCCAGCGCATCCTTGCTCTTCTGAAGGAAGTCCTCGGGACCTGTTAGATGAGACTCCGTCAGAACGTCACTATCTTCCTTTACTCTCTCCCATCTCTTTTGTCTATCCACAGGCAGAAAAAGCTTCTAGGAGAGGCAAGAGGCACGTATTTCTTAATGAGGCTTTTTGGGCCCCATCAGATAAAATATATATTCTGGCGGGGGAAGGGGAGTGGTGAAGATCACTCTCACAACATTTAGATCTTTCAAATGCGTATAGATGTTTTTACGTCATAGACTCATAGACTAGTTCTGATTTGGAACAGAACTGATAGCGCCTCATTTACATAGAGAATTCTACTGCTATTTAAAAAAATCGAGGCTACTAAATCACAATACTAAAGGACCCCCCTCCCCCAGGTGAAGAAGTGCTGAAACTCGGTACTTCCAAGGTGGTACTCACTCCGTGCCCAGGGTGGGAGTTCCACATCATCGACCATTTGCCCTCCTTGTCTCTTTCCCAGATCCAACTTCAGACTATTGACTAAAAAGCTGACATCATCACCATAGAATTCTGGAATCAACTGAAAGTTTTTTTGGGGTGGTGGGTGGGAAAGAATAATAATGAACATTTTTTAAAGCAGTTAGAAACCACAAGCCCAGTGAACTATTAGCCTTATTAACTGCCTACCTCTTTAAAATCTGTTGCACCATCCAAACAGTTTTTCCAAGTTTCTGCAATACTAGATACAAAGAAAAAAAAATCAACTGATGTGAAGTCTTGGGTCTGGAAATAGCAACCAAAGTGCTCTCTATGCACCTAGGTGTTGTCCTACACTTCACCTGTGTTAACTCATTTCTCTCATTAACTCATAATTTTCAACATCTGTATGAGGATCCCCCCTTTGACAGAAGAGAAGCCTTCTCTGAGCTCATGCAGGGAGTGACATGGGGTGAGGACAAGGACCCTGTCTCCATGCCCACACTGTGAACCTCCAGCCAAACACTGCCTCATCGAAGGGACAACACAGGCTACTGCTTAAACACGGCAAACCTAGCATGGCTGTTTTAACAGGTCACTTTAGAAAGTGATTAAGTTGCACACAGCTTAGAAAAAGACTGAAGAGACACAGACCAAAAGATTAACAATGAATATTATCTCAGCGTGGTGGGAGGCCAAGTTAATTTTCTTCTTATTTTCTGACTTTTTTTTTTTTTTTGCAAGGAATACTACCTTTATAATTAAAAAAAAAAGTCATTTAAACAATCACAGGAAATAGTATTCAATTCGCAGCAGGATTATTTGGAATAAAGAGGTGTTGGAAACAGTCTAAATGTCCAACAATAGAAAAATAGTTAAAATACTTAAGTTATGGCATACATTAGGATGTGATACAATAATTTAAAAGTCGCTGTTTTGAACATCTGATATATGGGGAAAACTTCAACATCTAATATGACGGGGCTACACTAGGCAGGACAAAAGCTGTAATTGAAACATGTTCTTACACACACACACACACACACACACACACACACACACACACGACGAGAAAGAGCCTGAAAGGAACAGATGTACCAGTCAGTGATTCTTTACATTTCTTGACATTTTTGAATCCGCTTTTTTTTTTCGAAGCAAACATAGGGTACGTTTATAATTAGAGAGCTTAAGAACTGGTAGATGAAGCATGGGGTCAAACCTGTTGAACATTCTGTCCGCGTTATCAAATCTGCCATTCTGCAGACACAGCATGTACTCGGGCGCTAGAGGGGAAATCAGAGTTGGGTGAGATAACAGAATCCCTGGCGAATCAACGAGAAGCCCCACTGAACTGGGAGCACCAATTCAGAATCTTACCAATCCTCACAAGATAAAAGAGCACATAGCCGGGGGAAGAGTAGTGACTGCCGTACATGAACTTTGGCTCTGGCATCTCCTGGTAGCGGGTCTGCAACAGACGGGGAAAGACCGTGCTCGGTGTCGGCCGGGAAAACAGTAACCGCCTCAAGTAGCCAAACCCCAAATCGTGGCACAGGTACATTACATCCCTTAGTTTCTCTCTTTAAGTAGAAAAAGGAGAAGGGGGCGGGGGGAAAACTGTGAACACACAGTATTCCTGTGACAAGTATTTTGCTTTTCTGGGCTCTGTGGGAACAGCGTTGGGCTGGATTGAACAGAATGGATGTTACACATCTCTTCTAAAATTTACCAGGGACTCCCTCTGTGCAACTAAATCAGTCAACTTGTGATCCGGTCAGCCTCCTGCTTCCTGAATTTCAGGCAGAAAATTCAGAAGTGGGTGGGTGAGGAGCTGACCTCAAGGGAGAGGGCAGAGGGCAGAGAGGGGAGTAAGGAAAAAAATAGGTCCTCTAGTCACTTGGCATAGACCTCCCCTAATTTGGGGGAGAAATGAGTTTCCCTTACTATAAAAACAGGCCACCATGGCTCAGGGAGCTACTTAGAAACCAGGCATCCCCAGCTCCACGTACCAGGAGTCTCTCCAGCCGTTCCTTGTTTAGGGCCCCTACCGGCCTGCTAAGGTCCCGGAAAGTTCCCGGATTTGACAAATCTGTAGAAATAAATACATTTTTAAGAAATGAATTAATTAAAATAAAGCCAACAAACTTAATAACATTACCCCTCCATGGATACACATGCACAGATTTATTTCCACAAATAATTTTAAAAAATGGAGACAGACCCATTAGAATTATAGTATTTCTGATAGTCACTTACATAACTGTAAATGTTAGGGCTTGAGTTTTAAGTCAGCAAGTCACTAAAGAGTAGCATCTCTAATTTGAAAATAACCTGATTATTGTATCAAAGAGTGCACGTACTGCATGGAGCATGCATGGAGGTGTTATATGCAAATGATAAATCACGGAACACTACTTCAAAAACTAATGATGTCCTGTATGGTGACAAAATAGCAAAATCAAAAAAATTATTAAAAAAAAGATGATTGGTTTAAAAAAAACTATATTTCAAGGAAAACAACAACAAAAATTAAGCACATTTGAAAAGTCAGTATTCTTCTACCAAGATTTTCTGAAGTTTGAATTATAGTGAATATTATTATTGGGTGATAATAACATAATCTGAGAACTGGAGACTGAATGTTAACAGAGAAATAAATTCTCAAACTCCCAGAAAGTCTGTTATTTCTCTCAAGTGTAAGGGTTCAATTACTGAACTGTCAAGAGGAATTTATTGTTCACAATATGTAATTTAGAATATTACAAAATCAGATTACAATATAGTCACATTTTTGTTGAAATAATGAGAGAAATACATATACCACAAGGTTAAAATGATTCTCATTAATGTAATCATTGATGATTTTTCTTTTCTTCTTTAAATATTTCAGTACTTTTTAAATGTTCTAGAATGAATGATTATTACTTTCGGTCATCACATTTTTGATTGTGAACTTTAAAATAATATGATAACCCAAAACCACTTTTCAAAGTGAAAAATTAAATATTTGAAATGCGGTCATTACAGGTAATGATATGGCTTAAAAACGTACGCATACTTTCTGCGCATGCCTTTCAAGAAGTCTGTAAGTCCTTCTTTTGGGATTAAAAGAAGTTAAGAGCTAGTGGAGAAAACACCTACAAACCCCACACAACGTGGAGAACACTGACCTGGTACTGCGAGATGGAAACTAGCAACCCTTAGTACAGAGATCCAGATGGGCTGGAATCTGTTGACACCTCACGATCGCAGCACCTGCTTTCCTCTCACACTGGGCCTCGGGGCACTTACCCAGCTCGGTGCTGCAGTAATCGTTGATTATCCACGGGAACACGGGGTACTGCGAGAGGTCATTGCAGCTGCGGTCTGCCAGGTTGTTGAGGTGCAGGAGGTACTGGTAGTTGGAGAGGTGCCCGCGCTGCCACTGCAGCGTGTAGCTCTCGGCCGTGCGCTCTGCGACGTGGTGCTCTGAGGAGGACAGGGCCCGCGGGTCATCACTGAACTCGGCAAACATGGGCTAAGTTGTACTGAGTGTGTAAAAACTACATGTTTTGGGGTTTTTTTGAACAATTTTGAAAAGATTTTATTTACTGATCTGACAGAGAGAGACAGCGAGCACAAGCAGGGGGAGCAGCAGAGGGAGAGGGAGCAGGGAGCCTGTTGTGGGACTTTCCCAGGACCCTGGGATCATGACCTGAGGGGCAGGCAGATGCTTAACGACTGAGCCACCCAGGTGCCCCCAAAACTAGATAAATGTAGACCCGTCAGTGCATTTTTGAAAAATACGTTTTAAGAAAATGAAAAGTAGGCTGTGGTTGGTTTTCACCAAGTAGCTGTTGCATTAAGTATGAATATCTCCAAGGACATTCACCAGGAGGAAACATTACATATTTAAATACACGATATAAAACATATATGAGGTGCCTCATTAGCGCAGTAGGTAGCACGTCAGTCTCAGAAAACATATATGAAGGTATGGGGCAAAATGTACACATTACATGGTAACACATAATATTTACTATATTCTATATAGCCTGCAAGTACACAAAGTGCTTGAATTTTAACGCCTTTCAGAAGCCATGACCATTGGCAAAAGCTTATTTCCTCCACTTTTTATGAAATCAAGACAAAAACAGTTTCCTTTTAGATCAGGAAAAGGTCTACCACACAGATTTGCCAATGTCTATGTATTAGGTAGGCACATGAGGAGCAAGACAAAGAAAAGAACCCGCTGAAGGAGAAGAAGGTCTCTGGTAGGAAAACACAATTTCTCAAAGGAGAACCAGGAAGTCTCCTCCCGCCCCCGAGAATACCCTCAAGGAAACATGCAACCGTAGAGTATGTGGCACCAAGGACAGCTTTCCTCCTGGAGGGCATAAAGTGACTCAACTATTTTATTTTGTTCAGAAGATTCTGCTTTCAACATTTGGTTGGCTCCGCCAGGCAATTTATCTAACTCATCTGTTGATTCAGTATTTATCCTTACTTATTTTTACCAAGTTTCTTCTCTCACCAGTTATAAGGAAAGAGCTTAAAAACTCAAAATGCTTGTTCTCATTTCCTACACTCACAATACCTCAAAGAAAGTCTGACCCACCTGAGGAATAAGATCAGCGGGAATAAGGAAGCTTTAAGAAACAAGTTCTTAGGTCATGGCAAGTGTTTTGACTTGAGATTTTAGGACTCACCATGAAAGTTGAATTTTTTGTTGTAATCTTGTTATATAGTTAGAGGAATAAAATGAAAAAAAAATTTAATCAGGCGGCAGGAAATAACAATCTATGTGTATCAGAGCTATACTTAGGCATTAAATTAAATGTAACAGTTTATTGTGAGAAGAAAAAAATTGAATTCTAAACCTATTGTAAAATATGGGCGCCTGGGTGGCTCAGTGGGTTAAGCCGCTGCCTTCGGCTCAGGTCATGATCTCAGGGTCCTGGGATCGAGTCCCGCATCGGGCTCTCTGCTCAGCAGGGAGCCTGCTTCTCTCTCTCTCTCTCTCTCTCTCTCTGCCTGCCTCTCTGTCTACTTGTGATCTCTCTCTGTCAAATAAATAAATAAAATCTTTAAAAAAAAAAAATAAATAAATAAACCTATTGTAAAATAAAACATATTCCTCATTGAAAATAGACTATTCTTCTGAGAGAAAAATTCCATTTCTAAGGGAGTAAGAACAGCAAACAAAGTTAAGATGGCATTAATAAAATCCCAACATCTGCTTTTGAAAATCAACCCATTTTAGTTATCAAGCAACTCTGTAAACAAGAATAATTCAAGCATATAATTTCATATGTTCATGTCTAAAAAGAAAAATCAGGTGTTCTTTCTGATAAAGGTGGGAAAATTCACATTTTTATGGAAGGCTGAGGAACTATTAATTTAAAGCAAATCAAGTCCCATGGAGTCCTCTGAGTACAGAAGGCTCATGTGTTCCTTTTGTGCTGTTTTCCAGCTTTATGATTAAGATGACAGTTAATGATCACAAACACATGACTGGACAACTCGCTGCATCACATTAAGAAACCAATTCTTGGTTTCCATAAACGAATCTAGACATGACAGAACAGAAAAATAATTAGGTGGATTCTTTATAATCCATTCAACTTGGGGGTGTTACAATATAAAAAATATTCAAATATATTTATCAAGAGTTTTTCAAACACACACTTGGAACGGACTACTGCCAAATTTCACTTATATGAACTCATGGTTTTATTTTTAGAATGCCATTTGCCCACCTTAGTTCCTGATGTGAAGAAATAAGGAGACCCAGAAAGGTGATTCTAGATAGCATTTCTCTTCTCCTATTTCCTACCCCAGGTACTCAGGAGCTGAACTACCGTCATATGAATAGATACAATGAAGGGTGAGCACCATACCTAGATACGTGGCAATATAAAAATAGAGGTCATCTCTATCTTGAGGTTCATAGAACTTTAGGTAGATGTCAGAACAGAGGTCGTCTTCTGTGCAAAACACTTCCAAGCCCTATAAATTCAGTAAGAAAACAGTAAAATAAATAGCACTGTATTTACCTTGCAATCTCAAAACAAGCTATGTAAGTACAAAAGCTTTTCAATTAAAGATGTCTACTTTTTATATGCAGGTCTTACTTATTCACATTCTCCACATACAGATTTGATTCAGCAATGCACATATATGTGTGTGTTTGTATGACTATGTGCAGTGTGTATATGCGTGCACACAGTTCACCCAAAAGAAAGACTTGCAGACGACATGCTTACAGTACAACAAACTTGTACTTTTCAGACATGCCATGAGTGTTTACAAGTCAGCACCATTGGCTAAACCGAGGATATGAGAATCATCTACCGAGAAGTGACATCCCACAAGAACTCACCAAAGGCATGAGGCCGTGCCTCCTTTTGTAAATGCGGCGGACATCCTGGAGTGTTATCTGGACCACAGGTTTCTTTAAAAGTAGATAGACAATCTCAAACATCAACATTTGGACACAATTAGAACCTGCCCTATCAGAAAGGTGAAAAAGTGGCCAAATCTCGACTTCCCGACATGTTACATGTGAACAATTGGAAAGGCAGCTCTTAGAACAAGACATTTCTGGTTTTACGTCCTTGCCTACCCTTTTCCACTAACTTTATGACTTCGGACGAGTCTCCCTACTGTCAGTCAGGACCCCAACAATGCTAATGCACTGATCTATCATTCAGACTCCTGCAAGGTTGCAGAGAGAAAGGGGATATTAAAGTGCTGGTACAGATAACCTCTCAGGAATTTTGCTATCTTTTTACCGATCAAAGGTTTTCTTAGAACTGACACAGGATATATTTTTTTAGAATTCTGTCCCTTATCTCTGTAATGACTACATTGTACTAAGACTCATAAAAAACTAAGATATTAAGCAGGGCCTCTAAATTTTTCTTCATGAGGAAAAAAATGTTCTCGCTTCTCAAGAGGCTTAAAGCACTAGTAAGAGGAGAATGAGGTTAGAAAAGCCACTGAGACTAGCTACATGGTGATACATCCACCTTGCCCCACGTGAGAGAGAGGAAAAGCCCACATGTGGAACTGTGGAAATTGCCCGACGGCTGGTCAAGGATCTAAGCCCAGAGATTTGGGAGAGGATACATGCAAACACTATGGATCCTGAAGCTCTAGCACATACTCCAGTATCATCCCAAAAAGTTTTGACCCAAGCCATAGTAACAGTAGTGGTCAAGCCAACTATTACACCAGTACAGGTGTAGTGTCTGTGGGAGGGCTGGGTGAGGGTGTTCCGCCACCTGGTGGACAAAATTGTCATAGCACCATTTTTCACACACAAAAGAATCAGGTGTTTTAGTGACAGAATGACTGACCCCACCAGGCGGAGAATTTCAGGGACACAGCCTCCTATGACAGAAAACATGTTCTTCGGGCTGCCCTGCCAAATGGTCCAATGCACTGTCAGAGTGTATTAGCATTTCTGTTCTTCTAATGAACCATTCCAAAAAGTGTTCAGCTCTAGATACAGCAACAAATCTTTACAAATTTTAGTGTGGCAATCCGAGTTTATCTTAAACTATCTGGGCGAGTAAATCTAAAGTCACTGTGGAAGAGAAGACTGTTTCTACCATCATGGTAGAAGCACCACACCTTTTCCAGAGGTGTGTTGGTGCTGGCTGGCAGGGGACACTGTCACACTGCTTGTGACAGACTTGGATCTACTGATTTTGCTCCTCAATAAAGAGAAACAAGAAATACCACATATATGGATGCAAACTCAGCTATACAGAAAATACCCATTTCTCTTTAATTTTAGTACATTTCATTGGTCTCTTCCAGAATGGCTTCCAAGGAGAAAGGTATAAACCTCTAACAACCCTTTACTAAAATTGGGGGCGGGGGCAGGGTTTCTTTTTACAGTGAGAGCAAGTAACCCCAGAATTACTGGAAAGAGATCAGAAGAGCTCGAGTCTGGATAAGGGGGCAGTAGGATGACACATGGAGACCTGCTGAACACACAGCTGCTGGAGGAGAAGGGGTAGGGTTTTGATCCTTGCCAAACTATGAGAACACTGTAACTGTGAGGTCAAGTTCCCGGGAAAAAGGAGTACTCCAGTTCTGGACCAGCTCCCCATCTGACCCTGTGGCCCTCCTTACCGGGTACCCATTGAGAGGCTGAAAATACAAGTTTGTGTCGGTGATGCACACGTGTCCGGGATTCGTCACCAGCGGTGTCACCATTTCTGCTTTGCATTCCATGTGCAGCTTTTCAGAAACACTCTGGAATCTGACCATACGGTTTTCAGCAAAAGTAAGAAGAATCATAAATCAATACTTCCTAGGTTTCACTTTCTCGAAGGGAGCTACAGTGTGACTATGCACGGGATCTGTCTGAACACTACACTTAATACAAGAAAAATGGCATTATAAACTGGTTGCTTAAATAAAACTGACATTCTTAAAACAAAAACAACAAAACAAAAAACCTGACATTCTTTTAAGTGGCAGAGTAAGAACTCAAACAACAACAGATGAGTTTATCACAGAAGAGAAGACACAAATAAGTAATACCAAACAACCCCTTACAGCTGAACTATTTTTCCTCCCAAAATAAACTGACCTTGAAACTATTCTTATATTAACATATTTTTCTATTGTTGTGTCTCTAAGTCCTATTTTTTGAGTCACAGGTGCCATTTACTTCGCACAGCATTGGTAAGGCCTCGAGTCCATAATTACAATTACTTGAACGTCAGTTCCAAGGTATGTTCTTTCGTGGCTTTACTGTGGTAAAACCAGTCAAATGTGATTTTTCCACTACCCCTCCTAAATTATTTAACTAGGCAAAAAAGTCCATTGTCTTTTTGCTTTACTAATTAGTTAAAAAAAAAAGTCAGCAACTGGTTAAAAAATAAATCCCCGCATTGTTAGCAGTAACAATGGGATGACAGCCTACAGGACAGACTTCTACCTCCTTAGGGAGTGAAGGAGACCTCCCAGCTGTCACCCTAACCACACACACTGGCTAGAAGAGCTTCACAAGCCTTTTTAAAAGCCGTCAGGAAGCTTAAGATGCAAAGAAACGGGAATGAAGAGAGCAGCTGCTGGGTGATGATGGCAAGAGGCGCCGCCTGTGGCAGACAGAAGGGGAAGGGCTGCGGATAGAGAGAGGTCTAGAGGGAAGTAGGGTAGAGGCACAAAAATGCCGCCACTAGGTGGAGAGCAGGGGGGAATGGCCCAGGGTTCAGAAGGCTTGTGGCTCAGCTGCAAGGCATGAAGGTGTCTCCAAGGTCCTTCAAGTGCTTAGGTCCTGAGCCCCTCTGGAAGAAAATCTCCATCGCTCCCCAAAAGAACTGCAGGTAGCAGAGATGGGGACTGTAACTATGGCTGCTAGGAAGGCTTCGGCCGCTCAGAGCGCCCAGCACAAGAAAGGGGGCACAAGGAGGGGTGAGCGCGCAACCACTTCTGGAGGTAAACAGCATTTAGTTGGGTCTCCACGTCCAGAGAAGAGAAATGAAGAATTACTTAAGCAAGCGGAACAACAGACTGGACATAGCAGAGACGTCCAGTCAGGCTGAAAACAGGTCACAACGAAGTGGCCTAACTGAAACTAAACAAAAGATAAAAGAATAAAAGCAAAAAATACAGAACAGGGTATGGGAGACCTGAGGGAATATATAAAACACACTAACATAGGCATGACTCCAGTTGTGGGGGAAGAGATAGAAAACAGGGCAGAGGAAATGGGGAGGGAGGGGACGCCAATTCCTAGATGCCTGTTAGCCCGAAACCCAGAGGTCCCCAAGCAGGATAAGCACAGAGAAATTGGCAGCGACATGGAGGCAACAGTGAGACACATGCTGTGGCCTCAGAGCCAACACGGACACCAACAGATAATGGAAGGAGAATCTCCACAGTAGAGAAAGGAGCACCAGCCAACCTAGAATCCCAAAGGCAGCAAAGACGAAGGGGAAACAGCTCTATTCCCCCAGGAAGCTGAGGGAAATCATCTTGAACAGATCTGCATTATAGGAAATGTTACAGAAAGTTCTTCAAGCTGAGGAGAAAGGATGCCAGATTAAACACACGGGGGCTGCAGAAAGGAAAGAAGAGTACCAGAAACAGCACATGGTTAAATATCTCAGTAAACAGAAGAAAATTAATCTTTCAGTATTTTTAATTGACATAGACACATATGTATGTATCTAAATTCTTGAAAAAGCTAATGACTGTTTGAAGAAAAAGAACACTGTGTTGTGCGTTTTATGCAACATGGAGAAATTTAATATAAGACCACAAGATGAGAGTGGGTGAGAGAGCTCTAAGGAAGTCCACTGGTGTAAGGTTCTCACACTGCTGTACAGTTGTGTCATGTCACTGGACACACACGATGGTACAAGGTGTGTACTGTGATCTCTGGAGGAACCACTAAAATGACCCAGAGTGGCACAGCTTAAAAAGTCAAGAGAGCTGATAAAATGGAATACTTAAAAATATCAGACTGACCCAAAAGATGGCAAGAAAAGAGGGTCAGAAAAACAAAGAACAAATGGAATGCTAACATAGTGTTATGACATTGGGTTTAAAATCAACCATAGCTACATCATCATAAATGAATTAAGGGCACCTAGGGGGCTCAACTGTTAGGCATCCAACTCCTAGGGTTTCCGCTCAGATCACGATCTCAGGGTTGTGAGATTGAGCTCTGCATCAGGTTCTGCACTGAGCATGGAGTCTGTTTCAGATTCTCTCTCTCCCTCTGCTCTCTCCCCTGCTGTACTTGGTCTCTCTCTCTCTAAAAAATAAATAAAAAAAAAATGAATTAAACATCCCCATTTAAAAGGAGAGCTTGTCAGACTATAAAAAGCAAGACTCAACTATATAAAGCATGTGGTTTTCAGAAACAGAATAAGGACACAGGGGGGCACCTGGGTGGCTCAGTGGGTTAAAGCCTCTGCCTTTGGCTCGGGTCATGATCCCAGGGTCCTGGGATCGAGCCCCACATCGGGCTCTCTGCTCAGCGGGGAGCCTGCTTCCTCCTCTTTCTCTGCCTGCCTCTCTGCCTACTTGCGATCTCTGTCTGTCAAATAAATAAATAAAATCTTTAAAAAAAAAAAAAAAGAATAAGGACACAGGTACAAAATAAAGGGACAGAAAAAGATATTAATGTGCAAACATACCACATGAAAATACTGGTATGACTAGATTAAAAGAAGGCAAAGCAGACTTCAAGACAAATAGCTAAGGAGGGATACGTCCTATGATGAAGGACTCAATGCATTGAGAAGACATTACATTTAAATGTACACGAACCTAACAATATAGCTTCACAATATACAAGGCATAAATTTAACAGAAATGGGGGGAATAATTCCACTATCATTATTAGCAATTCTAACACTTTTTTCCCAGTTACTGATGGAACAAATCCACAAAACATCAACAAAGTAGAGATGATCTGAACACGATATTCAACAACTGCAGGGTACACATTCCCCTCTGGGACTTGGGAAGCATTCAGCATGACAGACCATGCACAGGGCCTCCAGAACAACTCTCAGCAGCAGCGGACTGAAATCACAGAGCATAGACTCTCTGAACTGAGATGGTAGTCAACTGAAAGTCAGTAACTATAAAATAATAACAAAATCCCCAAATACGCGGAAGGTAAACGACATACTTCTTAATTAACCCACGGATCAAGGAAGAAATGATACAGGAAATTACAAAATGTTTTTACAGTAGCGGCACTGACACAGCATATCAAAACGTGTGGGACGTCTCTGAAGCAGTTTAGAGGTCAAGTTACAGAGAAGTACTAGTTGTATTACAAGAAGGTCTAAAACTGGCGGTCTCGTCTTCGTAAGACACTAGAAAAAGAAAAGTTAACCCCCAAAGTAAACCAAAGGAAGGAAATCGTAAGAGTGGAAATCAATTTTACATAAAATGGAGAAGTAGAGAAAATTCAGTAAAGTCAAAAGTGGGGTCTTTGAGAGGTTAATAAAATTGGCAACCACCTGGCAAAACTGATAAAGAAAGAGAAAAGACAAAGCCTTGGTATAAGGAATGAAAGAGGGGCCAGCGCTACAGATCCTACTTACATCAAAAGGACCTTAACAGCTTCATACCAATAAACCTGGTAGGAAGAGGAAACATTTTTTGAAAACCACAGCTTACCGAACAGGCACAAGAAGACATGAACAACCTACACAGTCTCCTGCTAGTAAATAAATTAAATAAGTAAGAACACTCTGGCTGTATACTTCGCCAATAAATTATGTTAAAATTTTTAGGAAGAGATACAATCCAACACACTTTCAGAAAACAGAGGATGAAAGAACATCGCTACACTGATTTGATGAGGCTGACCTAATCCTGATAGCAAATCCTGACAAATACATTAAAGATTTACACAGCAATATACCTCATGAGCACAGATGCAAAAACCCTTTACAAAACACTAGCAAAGCAAGTCCAGTAATATCAAATCATGTAAAAAGAATATATCATGATCAAATTGCATTTAGCCCATGAACGAGGTTGGTTAATACCGAAAAAATCAATCAATGTAATTCACAACATTAACAGCATAAAGTAGAAAAAAATATGGTCATTTCAGTAAGTGCAGAAAAAAAATATTTAACAAAACTTTAAAACTATTATTTATTTATTTATTTTTTAAAGATTTTATTTATTTATTTGACAGACAGAGATCACAAGTAGGCAGAGAAGCAGGCAGAGAGAGAGAGGGGGAAGCAGGCTCCCAGCTCAGCAGAGAACCCGATGTGGGGCTCGATCCCAGGACCCTGGGATCATGACCTGAGCCGAAGGCAGAGGCTTTAACCCACTGAGCCACCCGGGCGCCCCTCTAAAACTATTATTGAAAATACTCTCAGCAAAGCAGGAATAAATGGGAGCTTCTTCATTCTGATTAAGGGCATTCATGAAAAACCTCGGCAGCCTCATTCTTTAGTTGTGAAATAAACCCTTCTCCTGTAAGATCAAGAACAGAACAAGGATATGCTCCCATCACATCTATTAATTAAACAGTAAAATGAAGCAAGACAGAAGTAAAAGCCATAAGGATTTCTGTGGAAAGGTCATTATCCACCGATTAAACAAGCAGGTATATAGAAAACTCTATGCAATCTATAAAACACCCACCACGACCAATGAGTAAATCTGGAAATGTCACAGAATACAAGGTGAATGTTTAAAAACAACTACAACAACAACAAACACTGTAATTCTATATGCCAGTAACAAATAACTGGGAAAATCAAATTTAAAAATATCCAAAAAATCACCGGTCTAGGAATCCGTTCAACCAAATGCGGCCACATTGACAGACTAAACATGTAACAGTGGGGGAAAGTGGGCTATCCTTACACCTTCTGTCTAGATGTAAAATTCGCCCCAAATAAAGTAATTTAAAGGGGATGTTTTGGGGTACAAAAGGGAGAAACTTGACTCTGAAACTAGAAATCACACGGTGTTAGAGAATCATCGGTACCCGAGTATTGTAAGAGTACAGAGGAGCGCCAGAGAACACCCTTCGACGAGACGCATGTTGAAATAGTTATGGGTGAAGTGTCATGACGTCTTGTAACTCGAGTGATTCTGAAGGAGCATATTTTACACACAATACAAACACACACACACATGCACACATTACCTACACATATACGCGCATATAACACATAGACAGGCACACGCACCCTCTCACAGAGCATGCACGAACTAAAGCAAATCTGACAAAATGTTAACAAACCAACACCGGGTGACCCGTAGGGTATCTGTGTTCATTAGGTTTCTCTTTCCAAATTGTGGGGATTTGAAAATTTTCAGAATGAACAGTAGGGAAAAATAAATATAGTTAGCCTTCATTTCTTCAATAAGAAAGTTATTTCCTCAGAACTATGATGAAAGCTTATTTTGGCAAAAGTTTATTTTTTTCTTTGAGAGGAAGTATATAGCACTGGAACATCTTATTTTATACGGCAAAAGTTTCTTCTCCAAATTCTTCAGCCTAACATTTTAGGGACTGGATTTAATTACAACTTCCAGAGTGAGCCATTTTCTAAATTAATGTCATGCTGAAGCCCAGGATTGAAAAAATCGCAACTCAGAAGAATTATGCATTCTAAGTAGGTCAAAAGAAGCTAATTCCTCTTACTCCTTTTCCTTCCTAAAATGGAAGCTTTTCTTCCCCCTGGCAATCCACTTACCTAATATATCCTGCCAGTATTAAAATAGAAAGAAAATTAATGCTATGTAGGTGAAACAGAAAAAGGAACAAATATAAACACAATACATTATTGGCCAGATGGCTTTACTGGCAAGTTCTTCAACACTTTAAAATGTGGTGGAGGGTCACAAGTCTCACAAAGATAGCAATAAAACAGAATATCACAAACTGACCTTATTTATAAAACATAAGCGTCTAACCAAAGCCAAGTATCATAATCCATAAATGAATCAATTCAACCAATACAGTCTATGTTGTCCTAAGCTGTAGTGACCTATAGGTTTAGCAGAACTCTAAGATGAGAATCTAAAATAAAAATATTTAGTGAATAGGGCCTGCAACAATTTGTACTTAAGATTTTGTATATATTAAAGAGTTTACATATAAAGTTAATGGAACTGATCACAAAGTTTAGCAGGGTTGCTGAAAACAATATGAGTACACAAACATCCCCTGCATTCTATAAATCAACAATAAGCAGAAAGTGAGCATTTTAGGACATCATTTACAATACCATCAGGAATGTGTACTAAATCCAGCACAACAGAGGAAAGACCTTTATGGAAAAAACCACAAGGAAGACATGAAAGAAGGCCTAAAGAAATGAGAGATTCATTGCGATCACAGTCAAAATCTCAGAGAGCTTTCTTTAATGGAACTTGACAAGCTGTTTCTAAATATATGGAAGTGCAGCATAAGGCCGAGAATAGTGAAGACACAGATTAAAAAGGAAAACAAGGGGTGAGGCCCAGAACCTGCAGATGCCAAGAGTTGTTACAAAGCTACATGACTGATACAGTGGTACTGTAGATGATGCAAAGCTACTTAGTATAAAGCAAGAGAGAAATAAGAGAACAGGTTCATATAAAAACGTAATTATTAAAAAAATAATTATTTGCAGGAAATATATTGTATATTTAGAAAAACCAAGAAAATCAATGAAAAAAACCAGTAGGAATGTAGTCTCCTGGTCCCTGCAGGATGCCTTAGTAAGATACTGATCACAGCCTGAAGGGTCAGGAAAGACTTTGCAGAACTACCAACAGCTAAGCTGAAATCAGATGAGTAAGTAAGAGTCAGCCAGGTGCAAAAGAGGAAGGAGCCCGAGCTGGGTAAGCACAGGCAACACTTCCAAAGGCTCCGAGGGAAGAGACCATGGGCATGCTTGGGGTCTGCACAGACGCAAAGAGCTAGCACACAGAATTCGAGACAAGCCACCAGCGACTAGAGTAGTGTGCAAGGACTAGATCTTAAGCCATGGAAGGTGAAGATTTCACCCTGAAGGCAATGGAAAATCCTGAGGAGTTTTAAACAGACAAGTGATATAATTAAGTTCTTTAGAAAAACCACATTTTCAAAGTACACTCGGTGCAGGAGGGAAGAGAGGACAGGAGAAGGGAAGACCGGGGTCAGGCGGATAAGCGAACAGCTGTTATGATGTTCTGACTGAAGGTGATGGTGGCCAGAACTCAGGCAACAACAGTGGGAAAAGATGGTGACAGACTAGAAAGACTTAGGGAGCATCAGTCAGTCAGCCTGGTTGACTGGCCAACGTCGGGATGGAGAAGCGAAGGCCAGCGCCAGTCCTGACCACGAGTGGGTCTGGATGCTGCAGGTGGTCACACGGGCAGTTTGGGACAAGCTGAAGCAGGCATACAGGTGTAAGACGTCTTTTAGAATCAGGGAGAGAGGGGCACCTGGCTGGCTCAGTCGGTTAAGCACCCAACTCTTGATTTTGGCTCAGGTCGTGATCTCAAGGTCCTGGGATCGAGCCCTCCATCAGGCTCCGTGATCAGCAGGGAGTCTGCCTGAAATTCTCTCTGCCCCCCTCACTCACACGCACATGCACTCTCTCTCACATGAATAAATCTTTAAAAAAAAAAAGAAGAAGAAGAAAGAAAGAAAAAGGAAAAGAATCAGGGAATGAAATCATTAACTTACCTGTTCTTGTCAAATGACGTCCTAGCCAAACGTGACTGCAAAATAGCTGTTATCTATGAAAACAAAACCATTTAAAAATAAGCATTTATGAGTAAAATATCAATACAATTTAATTCACAGTAAAGACAACTTACTTTAGAAACTCTTACCATGGCAGTTTGGTCCCCTAGTTTGTCCAGGCAGGATGCTCTGTGAAGCTACAATATGAAAAATAAACAAGAATTTGTTTTTTTCGCTAAAACAGTAGAAAGGTATTTCCTTAGAAGCAATGAAAAACAGCAATCATTCTGTTACTTAGTAACGGTTAAGATCACTTCTGCTATATCTATGACTTTTTCCTAATACACAGTTTTCAAATTCCACATATTCAAGTAAATCTGCTTCATATTTATAAAAGAAATTGTTTTTAGTGAGATGTATGAATATGATTTCTTTTTTTTTTTTTTTTTTTTTGAGTTTCTGCCTAAGTTTGCTTTGAATTCTCTGCCCCATGAATGCCCGACTGAGGCGCTGGCTTACTTGAAGCAAGGTCTCCACCACGTCTTCCACTTTCCCTGAAACATCCAGTTCGAAGACATACTCCATCTTGCCCTAACAAAAAAAAGGAAATCAAATCAAATCAAAGGACGGGGAAGAAGCAAGTCAAACCGTATTCCTTTAAGAACATCTGCAACCCCTGCTGACCTGTGTGCATATCTGCCCGCATCCCACCCTGGAAGGGGAGAGTAGATTCTGTCGGACTTCCTGCTACATGGATTATTTCATCCCTTCTGCTAACTTCAGGCTTAGTTTGTGGTTCTTGTGCTAGTTTCTCGAGGTGCACAGTTGGGTTTTTAAATCTGAGACGTTTATTTTCCTTAATGTAGGCAGGTATCACTACAAACTTTCCCATTAGTGCTGCTTTAGCTGCATCCTCTAAGTTTAGGCATGTTCTGGTTTCAATTTTGTTTGTCCCAAGATATTTTTTAATTTCCCTTTTCATTTCTTCTTTGACCCACTGGTGGTTCAAGGGTGTTGTTCAACTTCCACACACTTGTGAATGTTCCTTCTATGTATTTCTAGTTTTATTCCACGATAGGCAAAAGGAATACTTGATATGATTTTAATCTTGAATTTATTTTTATTCATTTCGTGACCTAACGTGATGTAGCCAAGAGAATGTTCTGTGTGCCTTTGAGAAGAATGTGGACTCTGCTGCCGTTGGGTCGAGTGTTGTGTCCCTTAGGTCCATCTGGTCCACAGTGTTGTTCAGACCTGCTGTTTCCTAAATGACCTTCTGTCTGGATGTTCTACCCGTTACTAAGTGGGGCACTGAGGTCTTCTATTATTACCAGGTTACTGACAATTTCTCCCTTCAATTCTGTCAATGTTTGCTTCAAATACTTAGGTGCTTGGAGGATGGCGGGGGGCTATATACTATGAAGATTAATGTGATGTGTCACACGTTGTCTTCTTCTTCTTGCCCCGAGGGAGAGTCTGCTGGGCTGCTCTGTCCTCTGTCTGCTGGTCTATGGGTCCCCTGGAGCAGCAGCCAGATGTCCAGCTCCCCCTTGTTTTCAATGGCCCCATGCATCTAGGGCATATGCCAGCTCCTATCGCTGCTCCAAGACAGGCAAGACAGAAGCCAGTCCCTTGGGCAGCCACCCCAACAGTCAGAACACTAGGCACACAGTCCAGTCTTGTCTCTCCCTCCCCAACAGAAGCTGGGAGCTGGGAGTTCCCTCCCATCACGTGGTATTTTGCCCAGGGAGGGCCCACACTGAAAGGATGTTACCAACATCCCCATCAGCCTCAATGAGGCTCATTTCATGCTAACCTGGGGTGCAGAGCCTCTTAACTGGTTTCCAGGTTTGTCACAAAAGGGACCAGTCCATGTATCATTGACTGAATGAGGGTCACCATGAGAGGAACAAGCACTTTCTATTCTGTCATCTCTCATGGTCACTATCAGTGTCACTATTCCCCTCTTTTTAAAATCTGGAAATCCTCGGGTGTTCTAATTCACACTGGAACAAAAGTGCTTTTCTTTGCTTCAGACAACCTCCCTCCTCTCTCTTTATATAACTTTTCAGTGGGCCAAGAACAGCTTTGCCCTTCAAGTGGGTATCAGGAGAGCCTTAGGAGGGAGAGCCCTCCAGGCAGTGGTTCTCAGCTTGGGGGAGAGGCATCCCCACCTCCATGAGGCTTGTGTCAATGTATGGAGGTACTATCCAACAGCAGGGGTGAAGGTATAGCAGGGGTATCTGGTTTAGCCTGGGAGCAGGCTGCAGGGAAAGGGATGCCCTCCCCCTCAATTAAGAACTAACCTTCCCCAATGCCAACAGTCCCACCAGAGAGTAAGTTAATCTCGTATTTGTGGTTTCTGACTAACTGGCACACGCAAGTGTTTCTTGTGCATAAAGCCCCAAGGCCGCAGTGTGTGGTCCACATGTCCCATGGGCGCTGACTAAGCACTGCAGAGACAGACATTCAGCCTGCGGGGCTCTTTGCTCAGAGAGGGTGGCTTTTCTTCTTCACAGAGGTGGCGCTATGCAGAGCACTAGCCTGATGTCAGTCCTATAAAGACTCTCTCTTGGTCAAAGTTACCCTTTACTATATATTAAGCTGAAGCAAAAGAATTAAATAAAGCACAAAATGGTTAAATGTAACATCTACGCTTCCTTGACAAGTCCTGGAAAACCAGACATTGAATTCAAGTCTACTCATAGTTTCTCCCAATTAAGAGAATTTATAAATTATGACTGAGCTCCCAAATAAGGGTATTTTATAACTTATCAGTATTTCTCAAGCATTTAAAAAAAATACATTCTCAGTAATATCCAGTAAATAATCTTATAAATGATACATATTCTGATTTCAATTTCTAATCTAATAATTTAAGCTTTCTTTTCTCCCTTATTAGACACATTTGTTTTTAAGTCAAAGAGTTCATTGAAAGCTCTTGGACTAAAGTCTGTGGCTCCCTTGGGTAATTTTGTTATAACTGCTGGTAAGAAGCTTCTAAATACACATAATTATTATATTTGATTAAAGATGTTAATAAAGTCACAAAATCTTATTGCTTAAAATCACTATGCAAATTGCTAGGAATAAATGAAAAGCTTTACTTACCCTTTCTATTTTATATGGGGCAACAATGTTGTGTTCTTTAATGAAATACACCTGAGAAAGAAAAATCAATACTTGTAAAATAACTAAAAATTTTCATAATAATGAGTTACCATAAATTAGGATATTATGAAGGGAATTTAAATCATTGTCACATAATCTCAGTTTCCAAAAGAACCTGCATTGATCTTAGTCTGATGTAAGAATAACAAATATTAAATTAAAGAGATTCATTAAGGCAAAAAGGTAGCAACAATTATTGAATAAATAAAATATTTAAGATGTTTTATGAATTCTGTACTTGTCCCAAGTAACCAAGTAGATGGGTGAAAGAAGCTAATCTAAGTGCCTATTTTCTAAGAAATGGGTGAAACAGAGTCACTATGGTATGAAATACATTTATTAAAATCAAGAAATTTCTCTAGAGGTGATCTGGGCACACAGTGCCTTATACACACAGCCAGCTACTTACACTGTAGGTCAGTAACCATGTGCAACAAGCAATGTCACCCCCAGAGCCATCAACATGGAGCTGGTCCCGTTAGCCCTGCCTTCCCTCCTGTTTTGGTGAAGGGTGTGCCTGGGCCCTCGAAGCCAGTCACTCGACTAGGCCACAGAATGCAGACCTCCCTCTACCTGTCAGCTGTTCAAAAACTTTGGTTCTGTGTAATATGCTCGCTGCACTTTCTCCCGTTTGAAACAAACCATTGATGCAAACACTCCCTTGGTCTTACATCCTCCTTTTGCCATTTCTGTTCCTCTTCGTGGCAAAACCCTTTGCAAGAGCTGACTGTAGTCTCTCCTGGGCTTAGGATAGGTTTTCAGCTGCACCACGTTATGGAAATCCTGTCCTGAGAAGGTCATAAAAGGTGCAGAGGATCTCCATGTCACCAAACCCAAGAGTTTGTTCTAAGGACTTCCTCAATTCTGTTTCTCAGAGCAGGCGAGAGAGCTCACGGTTCTTCTGAAGCAGTTTCCCAGTTGGTTTCCAGACGCTGGCTCCTGGCCCTCCACGACCTCACCCGCTGCTCCTACTGTCTCCCCTGTGACCCTCTGTCTTCCCAACCACCGCTGGCAGAGCCGCTGGGCCTTTGTCTTAGACCCTCTGTGCACACTCAGCCCCTGGGAGGCCTCATCCAGCCCCAGGGTGTTACCCACGGTAACCCGTTCTCTTTCTCATCTCCGTCTCCTCCATGAGAACCACACCAATGCTTCCAAACGCCCATTGGGCTTTTCCTCTCAGAGGCCACGTTATAAACAAAGCCTGCTCTTCTCCAGGCTTCTTCACAGCAATAAAGGCATGGCTATCCACCCTGCTGGAATCATTCCTGATGGTTTCCCCTTGTACCTTGCAACTAAGCCATCCGCGCATCTGTGGGGTTTTCCTTCAGAATACATCTAGACGCTGACCACCTCTCACCCTGCCATCGCTACCATCCTGGTCTAAAACCCCTGAGTTCTCAGCACCCCAAAAGGCCCTCCTGCTTCTGCTCATGCCCCCTACCCCTAGCATATTCTCTACCTGGCCTCCAAGACTTGTGCAAATACATACAAAGCAGGGGGCGCCCCTCCTCCTCTCAGCTTTCCAGGAGAGTTTTGCTTTTGTGCTGTATTCGGACTCTTAACTGTGGCCCGCAGGCTCTCTGTGACATGGACCCTGCCACCGCTCAGACCCTTCTGTCCAGCTGCCCTTTGTGTCTTGCCCCCAGCACCCTCCTCCTCACCGCGCCTGCCGCCCACCAGGATGCTCCCTCTCAGGGCCTCCGCAGCTCAGGACACTGCCTGGCTCATTCGCTCAGGCCTCCTGAGCGGTGTGCCTTCACACGCAGCCCCAGTGGTTCTATCCACAGCAGCACACATGCTCCTCATCCTTCTCTAGCCTTCTGTCCTGTTGGCATTGTCTTCATTATAGAAGATGTCTGCTTACTGTCTCTTCCCCCATCTCAAGGAAAAGTCCTTGGGGAGAGGGGATTTTGGTATTTTGTTTTTTCCCATAGCTTCATAACCTTAAATATATTTCCTGGATATAAAAATGCATGACAAAAACTATTATTTACACACATATACCCTTCTTTATTCTAAAATTTGGAAAGCAAATCTGGAAGCAAAACTCTCTAATACTTGGAAAACTTTCTAAAACTTTCTAAAATTTGGAAAGAAAACTTGAAAGCAAAAGAAGCAAAACTCTCTAAAAGGCTAAAGGACCATAACATTATTTCTTTTTTTTTTTTTTTTTATTTGTTTATTTGACAGAGAGAGATCACAAGTAGACAGAGAGGCAGGCAGAGAGAGAGAGAGAGAGCATAACATTATTTCTGAAACAGTGTGACCACTTAAGGTAATCAAAACCCACAAAAGTTGAGTTTTGGGGTTGTTTTTTTTTTTTTAATTGTATACCCAATCCAGGAAGCTTGACACAATTCTAGAAAGAGTAACTAATGACTGGTCACCCCGGATGTGAAGCTGGTTTTGAGTTTGCCTGACATGAGACCTCTTCCAGTAAGTTTGTAAATAAAGTACAATGGATAATTTTTATAATGGAAACCATACTTCTGACTGAAAAACTACTTCTTCCTTTCCAGATATGGACCTTCTAACAAGAGGCCATGAAGCAGAAGGATACTTCAGAAACAACAAGAGCACAGGTACAGGCCTGAATTATTAATAATGGTGTTCTGCTCTCCCCCCATGACCCAGAGTAGTAGATGGCTACAACCATTTGTCTCTATGCCAGTTAAAACAACATGAAGTTAAAGATAGGCTGTGAAATGCTTTCTTCCTTAAGATTCATTGACCTGTGGAAGGCAGACCTAGAAAACTACCTAATGTGGTATCTCCCAACTTTCTAAAAATATTTTTCAATATACGTTAAAAAGTGCTCCATGAAAAGAAGAGGTAAGTGGTCCAAAAACTACTGGGAGCACCTCTGCTCCCAGCCCTCTGCCTCCCTGAGACCCTCACAGCGCTTCCTCCAGACCCTCTCTCTATTTGCTGAGGCACTGAGTCAGGTCCCGAAGTAGAGAAAGCCATATCTTTGCTTCCCACAGCTTCTCCTACACTAACCTGAGCGCAGAAGGATGTTCCTTTGAACACTTCATGGAACTAGGGCTCTGGACATAGTTGGGGCAACATGATCTCTAACCCTCTCATCTTAGAGATGAACAAGGTAAAAATCCAGAGCAAAAAGCACGAGAGAGCGTCCCTCCACTCCCGTCTTATTTATAAGTTAAGAAAAATACAAAACTAAACTAAAATAGATGAACTACGTGTATGACAGGAGAAAAACCTTGTTTTTTTCTCCGTGTTGCTGGTATTAAGCATGATACTGGGAACATATGTGTATGCTGAATAAATTTGGGATGAGAAAAGGTCAGGACCCCAAGCCTCCTAACTTGTACGAGATGGCATATCCTGAGTTGGGGCCGTGGTTGTCACCAGGAGTCACCCTGAGATCCCCCTCAGGGCTGTGCTGCTGGCTTCCCTCTGAATGGCTCAGAGGTTGCAGGAGAGACCACAGTGCTTCCAGCTCAACCCCCACACTCTGGCAGGACTCCTGAGGATAAAGCCATAAACCTGTAGGCATCACACAACTTTAAGAACATTAAAGATCTTGGGGCACCTGGTGGCTCAGTCAGTTAAGTGTCTGCCTTCAGCTCAGGTCATGATCCCAGGATCCTGGGACCAAGTCCTGCATTGGGCTCCCTGCTCAGTGGGGAGCCTGCTTCTACCTCTGTCTGCTGCTCCCTCTGCTTGTGCTACTCTAACTCTCTCAAATAAATAAAATCTTAAAAAAAAAAAAACAAACCCAAACATTAAGGATCTCATGACAGATCACAGCTTTTTAAAAAAATATAGTTCTCAATGGTTCAATCTTAAAAACATGTAAACATCTATGCCAACAGTCTTCATCTGAGATTTCTACAAATAATGTCAGTGCTAAAGAAAAAAAAAAAAGGTATGTGTGTGTCTGTGTCTGTGTGCCTGCATTCACTCAGGTTAGGAAAAAATATTTACTATGTGTTTCTTACCTGACTGAAAATGAGTGAAATCTCCCCGGATTTTGCCCTACAATGCAGATAAAAGTCATTAAATATATAAACTTATTTTGGTAGAAGTAAAATTAAACAGTTAGTGACAATGACATACTTTGCAAAGTGTCTATTGGATCCATTTTCTCCATGTTTTCCTATTTTTATGCAATCTCTCAAAGGAATCTGGATAAAATTGAGAGAAATATTACAAAAATAAGCAAGGATAAAATATACACAAAAAGTAGGAATGTCTCTATTCAAATTTAAAATGCATTTACCTTAATGATGGGCTGGGATATTACATCTGGTTCAAAAATAACTGATTTTGAACATATTTTTAAGGAGCCTCTGATTTTCCTAGGGATCAAAGTACAAAGGATTATTATTAGTGAACACGATGAAAGTAAAAAAAGAATCATAATATATTTTAACTAGAAAGTAGATAACTAAAGCATTAACTGAAAGAACAACAATATAATTATTTTAATTACATTGACCCCAGGCCAATGGTTTGCCAACCCAATCCTATTATTCATTAGGAACTGAAATTTTTATCACTCCTTCTGTTTATTATCCAGAATTCATCAACAAAGAACAACTTTACAGTATATATATATATATATATATATATATATATATATGTATGATCTGGAGTACAGTATTTATCTATGATTTGAAGTACAATTTGTACAAAGAAAGCAGAAAAAATAGCCTGATTCTTTATCTCCTATTCATCAAGTTTTTAGAATAATGAGTTGGTGTCCTAGGATCCCTGCCAGGTAATATAAACATCTCATGAACTTGTGGATTCTAATGATTCTGATACATTTCCACCACTGCAGGCATTGCTCTTTTTTGGTGTTCAGTTTGTCCCACTTATTGCCTAATTCTTCCAGTGGGCCCTTGTGCCCTTTTCATTCAATGTGCAGTAATTTCTGACACCTCCCTTACTTGCCAGTAGGACAAGACGTGCCAGGCTCACCTTGCACCCTTCCTGCCCCAAACTTAGATTCAGCAACTTCTCAAAGAGCCCTCATTCTTTTTTTGTGGGAAGTGGTATTTTTTTTTAATTTTTTTTAAGACTTTTTTAATCTATTTATTTGACAGACAGAGATCACAAGTAGGCAGAGAGGCAGGCAGGGGTGCGGGGGAGGGAAGCAGGCTCCCTGCTGAGCAGAGAGCCCGATGCGGGGCTCGATCCCAGGACCCTGGGATCATGACCTGAGCCGAAGGCAGAGGCTTTAACCCACTGAGCCACCCAGGCGCCCCTGTGGAAGTGGTATTGACAGCACAGTCTCAGTGCTCATGGCTACCAGGTTGTTTCTAGGCCTTTCCAGAGGGGAGAGCTAGAAAATACTTTCTTTTTTTAATTTTTTAAATTTTTATTTTTTTAAAAGATTTTATTTATTTATTTGACAGAGATCACAGGTAGGCAGAGAGGCAGGCAGAGAGAGAAGGGGAAGGAGGCTCCCTGCTGAGCAGAGAGCCTAATGTTGGGGCTCGATCCCAGGACCCTGGGATCGTGACCCGAGCTGAAGGCAAAGGCTTTAACCCACTGAGCCACCCAGGTACCCCGAAAATACTTTCTTTTAAAAGAAAAATATATGAACCCATATAAACATTTCCAATTCAAATGTAACATTAGGTTTTTAATTTAACTCCTTTACTATTAGATTTGTAGGTCTTTCATCCTGAAAGTCTTGTCTTTGCATAGACATATTACTTATTTGCTTCATTTAACTATATAAATCTATGTGCACATGTGAATAAACCACTTTCAAAATAATAATACCCAAATTACTAACAATGATATTACAACTAAAACATTTACAACCTCTTTTTGCAATTCTTTTTCAACTTAGGCCATATCTCACCAGAGACACAAATTACTATGTTGTGAAGCTGATTACAATAATTCTCTGTGGTTAACCTTCCAACATACATATAGTTAAGTTCACTTGTTTCATTTTCTCTTTGATTTTTAAGATTTACTGTTTCTTCTGAAATGTTAAGTCTATATTAAAATATATGTAAAATATTTCTACAGTTCCAAAGGCAAAATTATAAAATAAGGAACAGTCAGAGATGTCTAGTTGTCATTTTATATTATTTCCCCATCGATCTTTCTGTGTAATCACTTTCATTAGCTTTTAGTTTATGTTTTTTTAAATATGTAATTTAAAATGTTTTTAATTTTTAAAAATATAACCAAAAAATTATTCTTCTCCCTTCATAATTATGTGAAAGATAGCATGCAATTCACAGTACTCTGCCCCTTATTTTTCACACCGAATATATGCTGGAGATCACTCCACAGCACTACACAGACCTGCTTCATTCCTTTGTTACAGTTGCATAGTACTCCATTACGAGGACATTCCATTGTTTATTCAATCAGTCCCCTATTGGATTATTTTCAGTATTTTGCAATTACAAGTAGTGTTATAATAAATAACCTTGTACATATTTCTATTTCTATATTTCCCATGGTAAGATAGTGAGATAGTTCCCTACAAGTAGACTTGCTAGATCAATAGGTAAATGCACATGCAATGTTGCTAGATATCACCGAATTCACTTCCATGGGTCATACCACTGAACTCCATTAATAACTTAAAAATTATAAAAACAGGTTTCGGGTGGCTAGCTTATATTTGTGTTTTAATAATAAACAAATGCACTTAATTTTAAGCAAGATGTTTTACGGTATACAGCAGAGGTGTACTGGGAGGAAAAACAGAGGTATGGAATTAGGGAGAAGAATATGAGCAAAATTCCAGAAGAAAGCAAGGTGCTGATCTCAAGGAACAAGAATTGTCTAATTTGACTGCTAAGGAAACAGACATGCCATAAGCTCCCTAACAAAAAGCTAAGTAATTCTCACTCTAGGTTGTATTTAAACAAATACCACATGGCTGTGGTGGTCCTTTCAAGATAAAAGCTGAGGAACACTAAAAATTATAGAGTTTATCTAATATCAAAGTGTGATCAAGTTATGACCTACAGTTAAGGGACATCCCCAAAGGAAATCATCGGCAGATACAATTTTGTGGGAACAATTCTGATCTTAGTTAATTCCAAGTTGGCATTTTAAACAAAATACTTCATTACATGTTATTGTACACAGCTTTCAAAAAGTATGGCGAAAGAAACCAAATGTGTTTCTATAGCAATACACAGTAATGAATACGATATAGAGAAAATTGACTTTGCTTCCAGTTCAAATCAAATTATTCATTTTGAAAGTACTGATTTTTATGCCACTTTGGTGTTTTATGATTATGACTTTATAACACCATAACCCAAATAATTGAGAGTGTAAGTATAAAAGTGATACAAGAAAAAAGAGCTGGAATGAATCAGTCCTGTCCAGCTGAGTTAGACACTCACATTAGAGGAATTCGTACACACTGCTTCTCAGCTTTAGACAATATCTGAAGTTATAGCAACAACTTCAAAGTCCTTCCTCCTTTCTCGTTACTCTCCCAGTATAAAAGGGGGACAAATCTATATGACCATACATTTCATTTTAAAAATATCAGACAAGGGAAAGGTCTGTTAGTTCACAGAGATCCAAAAATCTTCCTTACCTTTCATACTGGCCGCCTTTGTTCTGAATATGATTAGCTGTGTGTTGTTCAAAGTAGTATTCCTCCAAGTTAAGTAGGAGCAAGGAAAATCTAAATTTGGAAAAACAAGAACAAAATAAAACCTCATGTTTATTTTTTAAGCATAAGAAAGCAGAATATTTAAAGCATCTGTTCCCGAAGTGATTGTTCATTTAATCATCAAATACCTATAGGTGTGTATTATATATTAGATGCTGTCCTCGATTCAGTGGGAGAAAGCAACAGACAGATTTGCCTAGCTGAGCAAAAGATACAATAAATAAAATTACTTACAGATGGATTTTTAAAATTCCTTTAAGAGAAACCCCAGATTTTATGAAATAAAACTTATTCTTGTCTGATCCAACCCTGGGGCTTTCCCACCTTTGGAGTTTTCATCCTTTGTTTCTGCTGGCTGACCACTAGACTTCCCTACCTCCCCTTCCAGGTTGTACACCCCTCCTGGTCTAGTGTTTTGCGTCATGGTTAGTTACACTTATCCTGCTACTTCCACAAGATCATATGCCTCTGAGAGGTAGATCTCTGGATATTTCCCTGTATTAACAAGTCTAATGCTTTGGTATTGGACAAATAAGTAAATTGAACAGAATAGGATTAAAATACAGTTCCTTTTAAAATTTAATGTGTTTTAAACTTTCTTTTTCTATTTAAAGATGTTATTTATTTGACAGAGAGAGAGCACAAGCACAGGAAGCAGCACGCAGAGGGAGAGAGAGAAGCAGGCTCCCTGCTGAGCTGGGAGCCCAACCACTAATAAGGGGCTCTATCACAGGACCCTGGGATCATGACATGAGCTGAAGGCAGACACTCCACAGACTGAGCTGCCCAAGTGTCTTAAACTTTTAAAAACAAAATAAGGTAGGGGTGCCTGGGTGGCTCAGTGGGTTAAAGCCTCTGCCTTCGGCTCAGGTCATGATCCCAGGGTTCTGGGATCAGCCCCTCATCGGAATCTCTGCTCAGCAGGGAGCCTGCTTCCTTTCTCTGCCTGCCTCTCTGCCTACTTGTGATCTCCGTCTGTCAAATAAATAAATAAAATCTTAAAAAAAAAAAACCACACACAACCAAAATAAGGTAATAAGAAAAGGTGTTAATTCAGTTGTATGGCCACAGAAACAAGTATGTGGCAAATAACTGGAAACAAGTGTTTTCATTCAGGAAACCAGTGGCATCCAGAGTTCCAGGAAAAGCTCTCAGGGGGAGTGTGGGACTGGAATTCTGCTGTGTTAGGGACAGGGTCTCCAATAAACATAGCAGATTGAGCGTGTGTGTCTATTTCTGTTACCTCCAGAAGAGCCACTAAAATTTGAGTAAATGAAAATATTTTTTAAAAAACCACAGACTAAAATTGAAGAGTCACAGAGGAAGATGAGAGCAACAAATTTGTGAGAAATGGAAAACAGATGGGAGGAATCAGCAGCAATCAGAAATCAGAACGGCACACACCTCCAGTGGAAGGTACCTATCAGGAGAAAACCAACTTAAATCATAGGACTTCCAAAAAGTCCCCAGATCGCAGATATTAGGTACAAAGAAGCCCCATGGAGAGCAGGGTTAGGAGTAAAAAGTAGGAAGACATAACCATTCCAAGTAACAGTTTGATAGATTATTTTTAGAAAACACAAAATAGCTGTAAAGACCCATGGATAGGAATATTTGAAAGAGTAGGGTCTTTACAGCATCACCCCATACTGAAGCCCAACAGAAAAGGCCTGCCCACAGTGACGCATAATTACATATTTCACACTTAAAGAAGAATGGATAACCCAAGATCACCAGCCTCTAATATGAAAGAACTAGACCAAAACAAGCAGGACACAACTTGAAGTTCTCGAGAACTTCTCTCTAGAGAACATGAGGTCAAAAGCCTATAATAAATATCCTTACAAAGAAGAATCTATATTCATGGAATAAGAAGACATTGCTCATTACCAAGAAAACTGAGCCAAAAGAAAAATAACTCATAAAGACTAATGACAGCAGGAACCAGCTTTACCATCCTAATAGGTAACTTTTTATTAGCCTATTTACATCTTTAAGTCCATGAACAAGAATTAATCACCGGCTAAAATGCCAGAGCTCAAAGGTAAATGCTCACTATTAATACTTATTCTGAATTTCAATACAATCACACGAGTTAGGATTGCTAGAACAATCCTTTGATGCATCGGATAATTTCCATGAAGGTTTAACTCAGAGAGATCCTTTTCAGTTACCTTGCCCCTTATTTTTAGGTCATGCCTTAATGACCTGAAACCCTCTGCTTGAGCTGGAACTATTTAACCCTATCTTCCCATGATTCATCTTCCCACTCCTCCTCTTAGAGAGAAGGTAAAATAAAATAAGTATCTTTAATAAGATAATGGCATAATTTTATTTCTATAAAGCACAGGTAGCCTTCATAGACAACCAGCTCTTCCACATAATTAATAAAATATAGTCCTATTCCTTGCAATAGCATGAGTGGATCTAGAGGGCATTAAGCTAAGTTAAATAAATCAGAGAAAGACAAATACCATATGATTTAATTCATATGTGGAATTTAAGAAACAAATGAATAAAGAAAAAAAGAGACCAAAAAAAAAAAAAAAAAAAGATTCTTCTACAGAAAACTGGTGGTTGCCAGAGGACAGGTGGGTGGGGAGATGGCTGAAACAGGTGAAGGGTTTAAGAGTACACTTGGGATGAGCATTGAGTAATGTACAGGATTGTTGAATCATTATTTTATACACTGAAACTAATATAATGCTCGATGTTAATGTTACTTGAATTAAAAATAAAAATATGCAACCCTATTATATAGAATAGTATATTAATAATTTTATTTATACATATCAATTATATATTTAAAAAATAAAAATATATTCCTATTATTATACATTATATATTACATATATAACATTACAATATATTATTATTAAGTGTCCATACTACCCAAAGTGATCTGCAGATTCAATGGAATCCCTCTCAAAATCTCAATGGCATTTAATATAGAAATAGAAAAAAAAATCCTAAAATTCATATGGAATTGAATAGCCAAAACGATCAAGAAAGAAAAACAAAGCTGGCAGCCTCACAGTTCCTGATTTCAAAACATATTTCAAAGCTACAGTAATCGACACAAAATCAAAATCAGCAAAAAGACAGACATATACACCAATGGAACAGAAGAGAGGTCAGAAATAACCTCACATATGCTTAAATATGAGCTCCAAGGCCACACAATAAGAAAAGGACAATCTCTTCAAAAAATGGTGCTGGGAAAACTGGATTTCCACATGCAAAAGAATGAAGTTGGGCCCTTACTTTAACACCACATACAAAAATTAACTCAAAATGGATTAAAGACTTAAATGCAAGACTTGAAAGTATGAAACTCCAGAAGAAGACTTGATGGAAAGCTTCACGACACTGTGTTTGGCAATGATTTCTTGGACAGGACACCAAAACACAGGCAACAAAAGCAAAAATAAATGTGACCACATCAAACTTAAAAACTTCTGTGTGGCAAAGAAAACAATCAACAGAATGAGAAGACACCCTAAATAATGGGAAAGAATATGAGCAGACCACATATCTGATGAGGAGTTACTACCCAGGATATATATTAAAAAAAACTCCTACAGCTCAACAGAAACAAAATGTAACCCAATTAAAAAATGGACCTAAGACTTGAATTGATACTTCTCCAAAGAAGATATATAAGTGGCCAAAAAGTATATGAAAAGATACTCAATATCACTTACCACCAGGAAAACTCAAACCAAAACTACAAGTGGGCGATTGCCTCAGACCTTATTAAACAAAACAAAACAAACCTGAAAATAACAAATGTTGGTGAGGATGTGGAGAAACTGGGACCCTTGCCCACTGTTGGTAGGACTGTAAAATGGTGCAACCGCTATGCAAAACAGTACAGAGGTTCTTTCAAAAATTAAAAATACAACTAACACACAAGCCACAGGCCCACTTCTGGGTATTCATCCAAAAGAAGTGAAAATAGGATCTCAAAAGAGATATTTGCATCACCATGCTCAGGGCAGCATTATTTACGATAGCCAGGAGGGGGAAGCAACCTAAACATCCATCACCAATGAATGGCTAAAGAAAATGTGGTATAGTCTTATGTGGAATAGTCATATATGATTATAGTCATATAGTCATATGGTGGAATATTATTCAGCTTTAAAAAAGAAGGAAGTCCTGTCTCATGCTACTACACTGGTCTCACTGAAACAAATACTACATAATTCCACTCCCATAAAGTATCTAAAGTCATCAAACTCTTACCAAGAGAAAACAGAATGGTGGCTGCTAGGCGCTTGGTCGTATGGGGAGAGCAGAGCTGCTTTTCAGGGAGTTGCTTTCAGTGGGGGGAGAGCTCGTTTTGCAAGGTGAGAAAGCTCTAGAGATCTGTCACACGACAGTGTGAGTGAACATCCATAACATTACTGTACTACACACTTAAAAGAGGCTACGACGGTAAGCCTTTGTTATTTTTTATTTTTATCACAATTTAAAAAATTAGTATCAACTACTGTAGAACTGGATAATGATCTTGGCAAGTAACTTATGTCCTCCTTAATTTACCAAGACACATATTTTGTAAGAAATGTAAAATACAAGGTAAACAGACAGAACCAAATCATATTATTTGAAGTTAAAGGATTAAGGAATTTTTCAGAGTGTGCATTTTCTTTCTACTGAAGTGTTACACCTGCTTTAAAATTTTTGTATACACAAATTCTTACAATAAAGTTTCATGGCATTTTGCACGATGATTTTCAAACCATATCCTCAGGAGGAAAAGGTTCTGAGAAATCACTTTTTTTTTTTTTTAAAGATTTTATTTATTTGTTTGACAGACAGAGATCACAAGTAGGCAGAGAGGCAGGCAGAGAGAGAGAGGAGGAAGCAGACTCCCCGCTGAGCGGAGAGCCAGATGCGGGGCTCTATCCCAGGACCCCGGAACCATGACCTGAGCCGAAGGCAGAGGCTTAACCCACTGAGCCACCCAGGCGCCTGAGAAATCACTTTTTAAATGTTTTCCTTAG